TCTCTCAAATGTGATCTGAGTTAAAGCTTTTATGGTAAACAAAATCAGGTCTTACGCATGTCTTTATACTTGTTTATAAAATTTAAATTTATTGTAATGTCAAATTAATGAAACGTATATGTCTTGCAAGTCAATTGCAAAAATTCTGCTTATATATACAACTCACATACTCAAAAAACATCAGCTTTCTACTGGGACAGACAAAAAACAAGAATAAAATGTGTACCTATGAATACAATTTTTTAGTTATAAATCAAAACACTGCTTATCTATACTAATATTATAAAGAGGTGAAGTTTTTGAATTTGTGACGTTGTAGGGGGTAATCTCTGGATGTACTGAACTGATTTAGATGAAATTAGGTAAGAAGATAGTTTGAGTCCCTGGGAAGGATATATTTTTATCCCGGAAATCATCCCTTAAGGGGTTGAAAATGGGGATGAAATTTGTATGGGGAATCAACCCAGGGACTACCCCGAGCGAAGCGCGGGTGAGTTGCTAGTGATAAATAATTATTTTTGGTCAATTTATAGGTAATGAAGTTAGCAATAAAAATTTTAAGCTTACATACGTAACGTATTTAGGTTTTCAGTCTGTTTGTTCCGCAAACTGTATATCCATCAAATTAAGGATAATTAACTTATTACACGGGATACCTACACTTAACTTAGAAAGGTAGTTTTCTCTTCATTCGGCGTAACTCTTGACTTTATGTGATAAGTAATACTGTCATCATCCCTTATGCTGCAAAGTCACGCCAAATGTTTATTTAAAAACATCGTTTTATCTTTTACACTTCACTGACCTTGAATAAGCATCAAAAGCCTAAAACAAAATCTGCAAAATATATGTTTTTAATCGTGTAACAAACTGGTTGATATCTCAAAAATAATATATAATTTGTAAATTGCTTCACATTTCGTCCGAAATGAGTACAAGTTTCAGTCTACACAGCAATAAATTATGAGCAACAAACAAGCTCCCTAATACTTGTACTGCTATATTTGTTTTAGATTTTGTCACGGTTTTGCACACTTTAATTTCCAGTTACTCTATTTATATTTTGATTATAACAGTAACAGAATATTGTGCTTAGTATTCAAGGAATATTACTTATGTATCTTCTTGTCAGCCCTTGTAGACTCTTGTAATGTAATTACATATTACGAAGATGAATCGTACATTTTCGATGTTAGTACATATTTTTCTAGCAATATTTTTATAATATATATTTTTATTATTGTACCTGTGATGAGCTATTAAAAAAAGTATACCTTAGAGCTACAATCTTTTTATTTTCTATCCCACGGGAACTTTTGTCATGATATTAAGGAGCCTGTCATTTTTACAACTGTTTCGAATATTTTTTTAATTATCTATTTCATTTGCTCGCGATTTTTACTTGCGTTACAATAAATTACTTTCAAATAAATTAATACATGCATTAGGTACTATGTAAAATCATATAAAATCAAACACTACATGGATAATCATCTATACATATAATAAAAATGTAACGGATCGCTGTCTGTACATGGAAGATATATGAGAAAAAATATTATTGGGACCTTTACCAACGCAAATAGCACCCAAAACAATGATTGTTAGAATTTTTCCATGTCTGTTTATCTGTATGTCTGTGCGTTTGTGCACGGTAATCTCAGAAACGGCTTATTCGATTTAGATTTGGTTTTCACTAATATATTGTGATTATCTTCACTTAACATTTAGTGTTTGTTTCATGTGAATTGGTTCGTAAATAAAAAAGTTATGTCAATTTTTAAAGAATCACGTCGAACATTTGTTAAATCTTTATCATTTTTGTTCGGGCTAATGTCCGAAACTATTGGGTACGATTTAAATGAAATTTTGCATGGTGGTACCTTATATCCCCCGTCAATATTTTAGATACTTTTCATCCCTGGTAAATCAAAGAGTTCCTGGGGGATAGTTAAAAATGATAGTAACTTATACAGCTTATTACACAACAACTTACGCACCATTTAGTAAAATTTGACATGCTGATACTTTATGTTGCCGGTCAAATAACAGGTTACTTTTTATCCTAGGTTAGGCGAACCCGGGTGAACCAAAGGTTGCGCCGCTAGTTCTCAATAAAACTATAGATAGAATCAAAATCTAGTAAAAAGTTAAAAACAATTTATAAGATCTAGAAAAAAAATATATTAAAATAACATTAAAAAAAATGTAATAGTAAAATCACCTACCAATATAGCACCTATTAATAGACTAACATATTATAACAATAAAAAAATGGGTGCGTGTAACCTTTATACGGGCGGTTGAAGTGAAACTTCTTTGGCAAATATCGCACGCAATTAAAGTAAAACATATCAGTAATTAAATAAGTAAGTCATACATTTATATAATATCATATACGGAAAGAATATAATCTTTACATATAATAAAATTCCAAGTAAGTCTAATCTGTACACTAAATATTTTTTTAGAAATTTTTATTGAAATAGTCGTTATTATCGATACAGTTATTTTACATTTTATTTAACATAGGTATATTACATAACATATTATTAAGTAGGTATTATTTGTCATTTACTGTGTAATGTATTCTATCTCATTCTCTCGCCGCCTTAATCTTTTTTCTGTGTTTTTCTCTTTCTTGTGTCGCATTTCCGTTTCATCGAGTTTCAAATCACAACGACTTTAAAGAAGTTTCACTTCAAAAATTGACATTAGAGCTTGGTCTCGTGTATATAATAGCATCTTTTTGTTTATAGTCTAGATTACAAAATTATCCTTTTCTTTCTATATTTTTAAGATTTAAAACTTATATAAATGTAATACATAAAGATAGTTGACAAAATTCGTTTCACATCCACATATTACCATCAAATTGTAGTTATGCCTATCTTACTCAGTTTCCACACCATTTGATCACCTTATCTCACATAACACTATTACCACGAACGTTATACTTCAACAATTTTCCTATAAACCAGGCATTTCTCCCTTCCACAAAAACGTATGTAGATGTATAAAAGATGTATGTTTTTCTTTATTTATACGAGTATACAGCGATAGTAAATTTATTAAATATTCTAGAAGTAAATGAACTTCAATGTTAAAATATTTACCTTATTTAGGTTTACGTACCTACGTTATTCTAAAGTACGTAAATATGTATATAATTTTATCTTTTAGCTGATTATAATATTATGGGTGATACTACAAACTTAAATAGATCAATTAAACATATATTTGTTTGTGTATTGTGTGTGAGTGTGCGTGTGTGTATGTGCGTGCGCGCGCGTGTGTGTGTGTGTGTGTGTGTGTGTGTGTGTGTGTGCGTGTGTGAGTATTTAATGAATATGTTCTAACAGTTTTCTATTAATGTCTTTTTGCATTTATGGTAATTGTAGGACTTTTAGTATAGTTTGAGTAATATACAGCTTTCTAACTGAGAGCAGTTTGCTAACTTGGTACAGATTCTCAGTTGAATGTAAGTTTTTTAAAGTACATACATTGTGCTCTCTCAAGTTCAATAAACTTCGTTTTAGCAGCTCCGCCCCAAATCGGGATACAATTATATTTCATTCAAGAGATTCCTGGGGCGAGATGAGCTGCTAAAAACTTGTTTAGGGACTATGTGTCTTAGGGACCGTGAGTAGGTTCTTAGACAACCACCTGGCTACTTTAGCCAACCCTATTTCGGCATTAAGCCTACCTCGTGCCAAGAATTACCCGTAAAGACTAGAGCTGTATCATCAAGAATACCTTAGTATTTGTTAGTTGTATATTACAGAGCTGGTTTACATAGATTGAGTAACCCTAACTTTCTGCTTCCTATTTGAGAGGTAGTCATTTAAGAGCTGTAGTGGAATTCCACGTATATATATCCACACTAATATTATAAATGTGAAAGTGTGTTTGTTTGTTTGCCTTTCTTTCACGTCGAAATGGCTTGGCAGAATGGCGTGATTTTTATGTGGAGATAGTTGGAGGTCTGGAGAGTGACATAGGCTAATTTTTAGCGCGGAAGATTATATCTTTCCCACGGGAAAACACGTTATAATACAATCCAAAAAAATATTTATGATTAGATTTACTTGAAACTTGGTATTAATGCTCTTCAATACTATTAATTAAATACGTGTTCTAGCAGTTCTATTACTTTTCGAAATTCATCCAATAAGGGGGTAAAATAGCGGATGAGTTTGTATGAAACCTACCATCTTATAGCTTTTTTTTGTAGTTTTAGCGCGAGCGAAGCCGCGGGTTCTGCTAGTATTTATATATGATAAGGATATTTTAAAAATAGATTTATTATATCATTAATTGGAGTTACGTAAAAATCTAAGTTATCTAGAAATTATTTTTTTTCATCTCAATATTACTAACTTAGGAAAGAATATTAGGCAAGATCATTTACAGTAAAAGATTTTGAGATGTAAACTGTAAATTATCTTTTATGCTAAGTATAGGTACCAAAAATAACTGTGTTGTTAATCAGCAAATTCTGCATTAATCAAGAAGATGTATGAATTATAAAAGCTGTATAGAATGTCCAACTAATAAAAACTTTGTAAGATTAAGTGCGTAAAGGACAGTGACGCAAAGTCTAAAAGGATTTATGTATACGAGTGTGGCGAGACGCGCTCTACTCCATGATTCTATCTCAAAGCTTACGAGACGTTATTACATTTAGACTCATAGATATGTCAAATCAATGTCAATAGACACTCTTTATTTCGATAGGTCTCTTGATACCCAATCGATGGCCAAGCCATATTTTCTTTAGGAGGGACAGACAGTCATTGCAGTGAAGTTAATCGCTTTTATACTTGATTCGATTTGCTTTTTAATCGAATGGTGAGCCTCTGTATAATATTAGTGATAGAATCGTTAAAGATTGATTCATAATTGGTGGTGAATGAGATGTGATGAGCGGGCGGACATGAGTGAGGTGTATAACGTGCGGTGATGGGAGGTTGGACTGCGCACGATGCGCGCGCGCATTGATGGAAGAGTCCTGGTCGTCGGGCGGCGCGCCGCTTTTGCGCACGCGGTCTTTGCCTCTAGTCCTCGAAGCGAGTGGCGCTCCAGCACGGCAGCCGAAGCTCGATCCTCGCCAGCTTCTAACTCTAACACGGCATTACTACCCAGAGGGAGGGTGGGGATGGGGCGTGGCTTTTGCTGCAACTATAGCGCAACTATTAGCTCATGGGTTGCATCAAGCGGCCGCCGTACTAGCCGTAGAAGTCGTCAGGCGATTCGGACCAGAGGTTCGCATGCAAGCAGGTAAGGATTATATACATTAGTAATTCGGTATTAGTATAAATATTTCAAACTAGCTAAATACGACAGTAAATATATCTGTGGTTCTTTTAGGAACTTCTTAAAAAATAAGGGAACACCACTAGTTCATAACATCAATAAGAGAAATAATACGGTTAATATTATCTCGATCAACTGAAGTCTAATTTTTTTGAGTACAACTACCGACTACGAGTACCTTTTTGCTCAATAAAGAATTAAAAAAATATAAAATAAATTAAGATTTTAATTTAATAAGCTTTAACAAGCTTTCATTATATAATGTAAACCAAAACTAATTAAAATTACAGAAATATTAAGTATTACATAATAAATAATAAAAACTACAACATAAAACCCAACTTTAAAGATACAATAAGTAAACATTTGGCCTCGTGCGATCATTTATGATCCCTAAAGGATGACGCATTGGATGAAATCTAATCTAAGATCTGTAAGTGTTAGAACAATAAGTTTCCAATGCGTCTGGAGAGTTGTCGAAGTTAATGAAACGTCACTACATGCCAAAACTGATCTAAATTTACTTATAAATCAATGTATTCCTATTAAAAGTATTTGGTTCTTTCTCTATATAAAATTGTTTTTCAGAGACAAAAGGGTTGTTTATTTGTTTTATCAGAAGCCTAACTTCGATGTTTCGACTTTTCCATTTCCAATGTTTACAATCGTGCCTGTAAATACACTTTAAGTGAGTGAATCAAACAGCCTCTCGTATCTAACAATATGTAAGATCAGTTTACCTTCTAAAAGAAAAATGACGACATTTTTCATGAGAAAAGCTTTATAAATGTGAATACTTATAACTTAGGAGAAATTGAAATTTATATTACTGACTGAATATAAAATATTGACGGCTTCACGCCTAAATTTAACTCTGTTAGAAATGTTTTATATAAGTTTTTATGAAGAAAACCTTGCTGATAAAGAATAATTCATTTTTAGATTCAAACTTCTTTACTATGTTGTTTTTATAAAGATTGCTTTACATTATTAAGGTGCAGATTAAACTGTATTCACTGAACTGTACATTACAATTATAATAATAATTTAATACATCTATTCATTTTTAAACATAAACTATTTTAAATTAATCCCTCCACGACCGCGGACACGCCGGCGTTACAGTTAACAATAGATTTCTTAGAAATTTATCTGGAGGTGTTAACCAAGTACCTACCCGCCTCCTTGTAATCCAACAAAAGCTATTCATAAATACTTAAATAATATTATAATATTTATATTACTCGAAAAGCAATCGCTATACTAGTTTATACCTCTATATATCCCTTGTTACATTTTATTTCACGCAGAATACGTTCAAATGGGATTCAGTTACACTCTCCTCGTAAAACTAACAGTCGATAAATATAACATAATGTGTCTTAAGTGTCGTCAAGAATCGATTATCGTATTTAATAGAGTCGTTATCTTTATATCTAGCGACAATTCCATTCGCAACATTGCTATGAAATGGGTCGTCGTTAGATAAAATAAATGTTCTAAGACTCTTAAGGCATATATATAATTTTCTTCATAAAATCTAATAGTTCTTTAGAATTAGACAAGTCTTTAAAAAATACTCGTGAATTAATACTATCTACGTTTGTGTATTTTACATTATTTTCATTATAATGTATTATATTGCTGATGTCATTGCAATAACGGCTTTACAACATTGATTCAGCCCTTTTTAACGTCCCAGTGCTGGGCACGGACCTCCCTTCAGTACCAGGGGGATCAGGCCATAGTCCACCATGCTGGCCAAGTGCGGGTGGGCGGACTTCAGGTTTCCTCACGATGTTTTCCTTCACCGTTAAGACAAGTGATAATCATGTTGGAAATGATTCGCACATGAAAATATCAGAGGTGCGAGACCCGGGATTTGAACCCGCTTCACTCGGTCTCCAAGCGAGCGCGTTACCAATGGGCTACCACTGCCTTAACATTAACATTGACGTTTAATTAAATATAAAATTTAATATTTCAAAAGCCCTTGTCTTTTTGAACTTGAATGTAAGCATATTTTGATTAAATAGGATTTCACAGGTTCTTAAGAGCTCATTCCTTTAAAGGCGTGCGTGCGGAAGACTCAAAAGATGAAGAAAAAAGAATTTGCTTGGTCCATCTTAGAGTAACTGTGAAAAATCTTGAATGGAATAAATATGTATGGAATGAGACTATCGGACGTTTGCCCTCTCAACCGCGTTACTGTTCTTATTTAACCTTTGACGCACGGTAACTACACTACCCATTGGCCTACGATCGATGCTTTGTGATGATTAAAGACAACTTAGAGGAGGAGGATAGGTGCTATTTTTGCTGTGGAGGTTTTAAGTAAATGACCTTTAACCATTTAAATATAAAAAAGACTACTAATATCTTTCAAATTATTTTATATAACCTACTAATATACCAAAAACATAACCGTAGCAGAATAAATAGACTTCATATAATAAACTTAACATTTTTATAAATAATTTTTACTTAGTGCTTACTTTTGATCAAGTATAATGTAATGAGCCGTTAAATAAGTGTAGTAACTATTCGTAAACACAAAGAAAAAAATTGATGTGAACGAGACGAATTTTCAAAGTTAACTGAGTGCATCCAAATATCGAGAAGATGGATTGCCGATTATGACGCGTGTTTTTTACTTGATATTCGCAAAAAGCGCTAGACCGGCAAAAAAGCTAGTCAAGAGACGGGTGGCCGCCCGCCTAACTGCCAATCATCGACAATCGTTTATTAGAATCGACGCGAGGCGTGAGCCCGATACAGCGTTACGTGTGTTACGCCGACCTCACCAAACATTTATCATCTCAAAGGACGTTTAATATGTTTTCAGACGGTGACAGCTCTAACGATAAGCGATACACAGTGACATTCATAATTTGCGAATTTTCATCATAATACGCTCTACGGTTTACGGTCGGTGATTTGTGAAATATGTAATGTAAACGCATAATAAATTAGCTCTTGGCTCTCCCGGACATGGTCGCTTGAAGCCAAAATTATTTTCTAGTTCCTTTGAAATATCCTTTTATCTCGTCTTATTTATGATATGCTTTACGATGTCGGTAACAATTTAATTATACTGTAATGATAATAAATCGCGTTTCTCATTCCTATACATCAGTCATAAAAAGTTATGAATACTCAACTACTTACTTTTATTAATAGTTATAGAGGTTTCATGCTATTAGGTAATTTAACTTAGACGGGTGATAGATTATATACCTATAGTTAGGTTCTGTTTTAACTCCCTGTTGACAGATGATCAAATATTCAAATTAACATCATTCCATACTTACATTTTTCATTATATCTCAGGTATATTGAATTGTAAAATAAATGATTAATAAAATATTTTATATACAAATAAAATACATACCCCTTATGTTAAATAGTGCCTATTGGACAGTCTGATATATATATATATATATATATATATATATATATATATATATATATATGTAAATTATATTTCTTCAATACTATGACATATCTCATATATTCAGTGTACATAATCGTTTTCACAATTGAGCCAAAGCAAAGAACAACACGTTACTTCATTGGGATATGTTTTTATTGTGTTGTTTCTTAACACTATTTCTTAGGATATCCACTGTAATAAGATATCCTTTTTTTTTCAACACAACAGCTACATATAACGACTCAAACAATACAGCATTATAATGTAGAACAAATTGTCGGACAAATAGCGTAGCAGACTTAAAAATATCTTCTCAATACAAACCTTTCGTGATGTAAAGCTTGAATAAGCAAAAAAAAAATAGATAAACCTCGGCGCCACAAATATAAAGTTTCTGACATATCAGAACTTGTTATAAATGAGGCCCACAACTACCAATCAATAACGTCACAGACTGGCAAAAGCACGAGAGTCATCGGAACATCATAACAGGCTACATAAATCAGTTTCCCTTTGAGCTCCAGTAAGCCGGCGGGATATTAAAAATCCCATCACTCTGAAGAGTTTAAAACATCTAACGAATTTCTTTTTCCGACACTTCCTATATTCATCTTATTGTCAAAACTAAGCTATAAAGAGGAAAATAACATCTGTCTTAGATGATAATTTAAAAGGACTATACCTCTATTATTTACTTTATTACATTTTGCTTATTAATATACAAATTTGATAATATATTTACATGCAATTTAAAAATAACCTTAAAGTTAAAATGAAAGTGAAAACTGTACCTTTTCAACGTAGCCAGAAAGAAAAATAACAACTATATTGTAATTTGCAAATAATATTTTTTTAATATTTATTAAGAATAATTTTAGAATTTGTTAAGAAAGTAACAATATTCTTTAATTTGTTTTATTTGTCGTTGAATGTTGCTGGACTTTTCCGTAAACTATAGAAGTAAAATTGTTAAAACACCCATAAAACGTCGACAATGTCAACACCATGTGTTCCGCATCATAAAGTTGAAGTTCACTATTTGTCGGATCCTGTTATTCGTCTTTAGGTTATTATCATCAGGAAAATATTTGACTTTAGAAACTTGTAAGTAGTTAACTAAGAAAAACTTTTTTATTAGGCTTTTATCTTGGGATTTAGTACCTACTTATAACAGGAAATATTGATACACACACTACATAGTACATTAATAATTTTAATAATAAATTATCATCGAAACTTAACATATTTGTTAAAATAAATTTAATAAGCTTAAATATACATGTAATAAAATTGTAAATAAGCCGAATCTGTACATTAAATATTTTTTTGGAAAATCTTATTGAAATAAACATTATTATCGATACAAAGGCCGAATCTATAGTTTTTAGAATTTTTGTCTGTCTGTCTGTTACGGCATCACAGAAAAACCGTTACAAAAAAACAAATGGTGATAGCTGGTTATTCGGATTTCGGGTCAACATATAGGATACTTTTTACCGCGGGAAAATGTCTCATTTCTGAAAAAAAATACAAAAACTATAATGTAAAATTATACTAATATGTGAAACCTAAGAATTTGGTTTTTGGTCATCTGAACGCGGGCCGAGCCACGGGCAATGATAGTATTTATTAAAATATTTTTTTTATTAAAAACGTTACAACATATGTTTTCAAAGTTTAAACTTTGCAATATACATTTAAAAATTGAAAAAAATATAAAAAAGTTACGCGTTAAAGTAAGTTTTAATTTAAGTAAGATCAAGTTCTAATAGAAACATGTAAAAGAAGATGAGACAGCACAACTTCTTTTCAATATCGGTATCTGTTGAGACAACTAAAGATTTCTCTTCAGACGTTCCACTGCATTTGTTGCCGACTATAGAGTAAACTTGGTCTTTATTTATAGCCTAATATTTTGCCTTTACTGTAGCTCTTAAAAATACTCATCCTCAAATATGAGCTTTTAAAAGTTTTCGAAATAGAGGTGATTTGTTTTCTTTTCCAAATTAATTACATAAAATTTGTCTACCATTCTTATCTCGGTTAGGTATTAATTATGCCCCCCCACTTCACTTACGGTAATACACTGAAAGACAAGTATGTCTCGGTCTATAAAAATAACATACGCCTACTTATGTGCTAATCCAGAATATTTATGGTTTCCCATTTCGAAGTACACCCAAATGCGTTGAGCTGTTACAGCGTAAACTTATTAGATTACAAACTTTCGCATTTACAATATTAAATGCTGAGCTTAGTTTAAATATTCTTTAACCTTTCAAATTCAATATAATAAAAAAAATATCAAAAATTAAAGGTAAGTTACATTTTTATAGCATTTTCACTAATGTCTTTTTTAATTAATAAAACTTTTTTTATCACGATCTAGTACAGCATCAGTTAATAAGCTTTGTACCTATTTCATTAATTTACTTTTGTTTCGTCTCGAAATGTAGATGCATGACATGATGGCTGAAACAGATAAACAAAGTTAAAACAAAGCAGCCGCCATCAATCTGCTAGCAAGATTAAGCATTGTCTAAGAGTTATTCTTCTAAATTCGTACTTTGTGGTGATGCGATGCTATTTAAAGTGTCGACGAACTTTTGAACTCTGAGTAACTAAAACTTTTTCAATGATGTTTGTCGGACTCGGCAAATCTATTGTAAACTTAACTTATATTCTTTAAGACAATGCGTCAATGACATCCTCTTTATATGAGCACTTTAAAACTTACAAGACACTCGGGATTTATTTGATGTATTTAAATTATTATGATTGATCATTTAGTCCATTCAGGTATTTAATGAGTATGAAAGTTATTAGAACATCTTTGTAGATAAATTTTATGAATATTATTTAATGTTGATATAATAATAAAGCGATATATCATATTGAACATTAGTCCTATGTTAGGTACATGCAATTATATTCCTAATTTAACTTAAGAAATATACCAAAGAAATATTTAATAGTTCTATGAAAACAATTTCTGCATAACATGAGTATTCCCCTTTATGGTGGAGGAAAAAATATATGGTACCTAACTAAATATATTGCAGTTATTCAAAGTGAAAATTACCCATAAATGGCACAGAAAGTCGTATTTGCACGTACATCAAAGTTGCATTAGCAGGATAAATATCAAGATGGCAAACCAAAGCTCAACAAATAAACCTGTTTAAACAATATACATATAATTATTGCGATTGATATTTATCTCTTAAATAACACTATTTAATTTATCGACCAAACCAAAGTCGTGATTTTAGTATACTAAAAGAAGATTATTCATTAGAAATGAACGGACGTGGTTCAATAATTACAAATGTTGAGCCCGTGCCAGCTGCTGCTATCTGTTTAATTAAAATTGTAGTTTTAATTTATTTTACAGACTTTCTATTCATTTGATTTCTTATTATAATTAAAATACTTAAGAATTATATTTTAACGGTAAATATATAATACTTACTGCTAAATAGTTTAATTTAGTACGTGGAATATGTGGGTTCTGAAATACCTTCAATTTTCAAATATTCTCCCTATAATGCTATTCTTATAAATAGTAAAATTATATATTATGTCAATATAAATAAATAATAAAATATAAAAAATATATTATAAATAAATATGTCCCAACATGTTTATTTATTTATTATTTATATATTTTTCGTTTCGTTTTGCAGTGATTCTCAAGACTGAGGCATTTTTTGTACTGCCAGAAATGCTGATAAAGTTTTTGACAAACAATAAGTATATTACTGAAATACCAACATTAAATAAAGAATCTTGTTTTACAAAATGCGCAGCAATTTAAAGCTCACTTTTGAAAGATATCATACCTAATAGACAGACTCAATATTAATAATCATCTAATATCGATCAATACCAGAATTGAAAATACATATAATAATAAAATTCCGTTATCATTTTAGTTATATGTATTTTGGCACATTGTATAATAATTACTAATTAAATATAAATACAATAACAATAACAGTTAGGTACAAATGTTTAAAAACGCAAACACGTAGGTAATGTATGAAAGTTATTTTAAAAGTATCCAACCAAGGCATCCGAGGCGGCCGAGATACATGCACGCGCATTTTAATGATTCTGGATGATAATAAAATATCAAGATCTTTTTACCGCCATCGTTGCTCAGCTAAAACGTGACATACCGTACACGATGCCTCGGATGATGCGATAATTAAAGACATTTTCGCAGTTAATAGCCACTTCATTTCGTGTCGTGCAACGTGAAATATTGCGCCTCTTGCGTACGTGCTTGTATGATTGCCGTTGATTTGAATCTTTATGGCCTGACAAATAATAAATGACACCAGGTATAATACAAATAAAAAGCGTCAACAAAAATTGACAGTTGCTGGGACATCTTTAACAAAAAGACTCAATTAAAACTCGGCCCGACCCGGGAATCGAACCCAGAACCAGATGTAGGCGTACATACTTGCCACCGTCTAGGCAGTTAACAAACTCTACCTCTCTCGTTCGTTTATATCAGTCTAAATAAAGTATTTTTTGTATACCAGTGACATATATATATATATATACATATATTATAAATAACAATTAAACACCTAATTTACAAAAATGTATTATAAATAAATCAACAATTCCAGGATGTCTCGGCGCGATATCAGCGGGGGTGGCTCTAGCACTATCGCCAGTGACGGTAGCTCTGTGCGTACGCAAGTCTACGCGCGTGACAGCCGTCGTAGGCGGGCTGGTCGCCGCCCTCGGGTGTCTCTTCACGTCCTTCGCTACACAGTTCCACCAACTATTCTTCAGTTACGGTAAGTGCACTTTTACTGTATAATATCGTTAAACAAGTTACTTGTAGTTCCCAAAAAAACGATTGTTCCCTAGTTCATTCCTAAATATTGTCATATCGGAAGGTTATTTTCGTAGTGTTTATAAATTATAATTTTATCTCCATGTATGTATGTATGTATGTATGTATGTATGTATGTATGTATGTATGTATGTAGACGCAAATTCTAGTAGCTAATTTTCCCGTTAGCTGCGTACAAAATACTAACGAATAGTAATAATAATTATTCTAATGAGGGTGCTGTACCATTATGTCGCCTGATCGTCGATAGAAAAATGTGCTGTTACATCTTTAGATCTACTCAGCCGTTTTCAATTTATGTTTACACTTTTTAATCTATACTATCTATAAATAAAAATTGTACAAGCTGTTGGATTGACTTCTTTTATTTATCTAAATATCCCCCTAAAACAAAATTATCAGTAAACGTTTTATGTACAACATTAGTTTCACTGCACTTTTATTATAATAAGTTATATATTGTTTTAATAATTGAGTTTTGAAAATTAGTTATAGTTTTAGAGGAACATTTTATATGTAAGTACAATTATGCTCTGCTAAAAATATCTTCAATAATACAATATTATAAATACAAAATCATCCTACAAAAAATGTTACATCTATTTTATAGATGTTTACAACTTATTTCATATAAAGAAAAATACTTATATCGTATCTTACTGAGTAGAAAGCAGAAACTTTTGCCAATTTTAGTGAATATATAAACTCTTAAAGCATTTGCCGTAACTGATAGAAAACTGCGTACACTTTAAGTTTATTTAAAGAGTAAAAATAACATTAAAGTAATTGAATTTCTAAAAATAGTAAGATCAAACAGAGTATTTTCAAATTTCATATTTGATATAAACCAATAGAAGACATCAAATGGTCTGGTTTGCTTAAGAATGATTCATCGGCTCGCATGAATCGCATTATATAAAAGTCAAAATATAATTTGACGATAGAAACGTGTAGTAACGTAAGATAAACAATCGGATTGTTAATTCGCTTCAAAATACAGGCAGAAATTTCTGACAGCTCAATTTATCTTGCCACTTGCATATCCGACACCCGTTTAAGAACATCAAAGGTAGCCGTAATTGGCCCCGAGAGTAATGAGATGAATTCAATAAAGCGCTCGTTCGAGGCCGAACCGAAATAAATTGTTTATTGTAATTGCCATATTTTGAAGACTATATCGTCTTCAATTATCACAATTAACTGTAATAACGCTGTTATTTATACATATGTAAAATGTAAAAAAAAATTACCCACAACTTAAATATTATTACAATCATAGAATCCCAAGTAAAATACATAACACGAATTTTACACTTCATACGTCCCAATGGTAGTTATAAATTGTTTAGAGTCGTTATCTTTAATGTTTACAGAATATAACAGATAATAAACTTCGTATATGGTTTTATTGCTTGAAAAACAATTTCACATATTTGGATAAAACTGTATAATTCCAACAAGACTTACATTTTTTTATTCTGTTAGATAATGCCCCTATAAGTTTCTATTTTCTATTTAAAGTTGCAGATTTTATCAAGAAATTCATATCTGTTTTGGTAAATACGAAATCCTTAGGAGCAATAAGATACGATTTTAGCTGGTAATAGAGTAGAATGCAACATAGTGTGATATTCACATTCTAACGCCATCAAATGGCGCCGCCGCAAAAATAACGCTGTGCATTGCATAAATGCACGCGCTAAGCTGACTATCTTCAAGGATAACGTCGCAGCGACCGGCAGAAATCGTATTAGCATTTAAATTGAGACCACGTTTTATACTGGATAGTTTGATACACCCCAGTCGATGAGCCTGATCACTGATCTGGATCCGATGAGTACCCAACATCCAGTAAGTAATTAGGGATAGTTTGAGTATGCAAATGTCAGCTTGTTATCATTGCTAATATGATAACTATGAAATGCGATTAAGTTTAACTTAAATAAAAATTTAAAATAAGACGAAGCTTTTTGGGTCAAGTATACTCATATGTAATAAAATTCCCACTATTGCTTAAAATAAATAAATATTATTAAAATAGGGCATTAATCTGACTGATTTCAACCACGGCGGAAAATCTGAGACTATCCATGTGCGCAAGAAATATAGGTAATAAATAGTACGAAAGTGTATACGCAAACATCAATGCACTGTCCATTTCATTTACACTGATATTACAGAAGGACGATAATTTAACATAACCGTAGAGAGTTCAAGCGCAGAACGGACGTTTTACATGATCTCCGAGGCGCGGAGACGTACCTAATTCCTGTAACTTCTACTCTGGTCTGATATCGAAAATTTCTTAACAGAAAAACACAATAACTATACTTAGCCCGACCCGATCGAAACCAGTACCTCTAGATCTACAGCGGTATATACTAGCCACTAGACCAACTAGGCAATTACTAAATTGCTAGGTTTGTACCTAGGGAAAGCAAAAGATTATGTAGTAGTGTTATATTATATCCGGATGGTATATTCATCATGCACTGATGATATTCTCTTGATCTATAGGCGAAAAGGCTTCCTTTTTTTGGAGTACGCTCTTGAAATTTTAGTATAATATCGGTAATAGGGTATTATATGCTGGAAAAATAGTAAAAAAAACCTATATGTAGGACAAAGTGACTATATTACTATGTGATTTGTGTAGGACATAGAATAGTTTATAAATATAAATTGTAATTAGAAAAGAAATAAAACACAAATACAACATATTGTAACCTTTATATTATATATAGGCATTATAAAGTTTTTGAAAAAAACAAAAAGCAAACTTCTTCTAAATAAAACTTTCAAAATTAAACATTTCTTTTCATAAAAATAACTAAATATTATTATGACCTTACAAATCAGTCGCAATTAGGAATATATTTAGATATTAATTAAGTTTTATCGACACTTATACCCTACCACTTATTATTACTCTAAGTTTTGGTGAAAATCGGAATAACAATTCCTATTTGGCGTGAAGCAGAGATTAATATCACAGCAAAATACTGTAGTTTTTTAGATGGGCAAATGTAGTATAACCTGATAAATCACCACGTGACGCATCTCCAAGATTCGATTAAACAGCGGCTGTATTTTCCTTTTTTTTTGTATCTATCAATTTGTGGATACTGCAGTACTGACATTATCATTGTTATTCCTATATTCTGAATCTAATGTATCCTTGGTCCAGGTATCTTGAAAGCCATCATTATGTTGACGATTCCTAATTGCAATCTGGTGGGTTGACAAAGGCGACGATTGCGGCATCTCCCGAAAATTCAAACTCAGAATCGTTTAAAGCCTCCGCTATTCCATTGTCCGTTAAAACTCGAACAAACATAATTAAGATAAAATATCTATCAATGTACTTTATATAGACCATTTTAAAAACCGGTAGTATATTAATTCCTATGTCCTGGCTGTAGTACAGATGTAGGCAGGAGGATATATATATATATATATATATAAAATTAGGCACATACCCTAAATGACTAATGTACTGACTGACTAGGATAGTATAGAGTGAAATGGTGTGAGAATATTTACATGGCAGGTTAATATGCTTTTCTAACCAAATCTACTTGAAACTATTTATTGCAACACATTTCAGTATTTTTAAGTTAATAGAAAACCCTCGACTTTAAAGTTAGGCCGTTACTTCATATTGGTTACCAACTGTCAAACAGGAGATAGTGAAATATAGCATCAACTACCAGAAAAGACTCTCAAATCACAAAAATGAGCTTGCCCTCAGACTCAGCGGAGATCAAGGACTTGAACATAGAAGATTAAAGAGACATAGTGTTCCAACCCTACAAGATAGATTCAACAGTATGGAATGAGACACCTACTTGAAAAGTGTTTCACCAAGCTATAAAGCCAAAACAGATACAAGTATCAGACAAAGCAGTGGCCTATTGTTGTGTCTAACAGATTGCCGCGGTACAGAAAAGTAAAAAAAAAAAAAGAAAACTTCATATTGGTATAAAAGTTAAGTAAACAAATAGGTACAAGAGGTTACGAATATTGCGAGCAATATATGTTCTCTTAAATAAAAAGAGCTTGATCCAAAATTATCTAGTACAAGAGGATAATATAAAGTATAACGGAAGCAACAGAGTTACTATTAAAAGTTTTTCAAACAAAAGAAAGATATACGTGACAAAAGTCAAGATTTTTATTTTAATTCAACATGATATTCTTTTATAAGTTTGAGACTAGTATCGGAAATTTAGTTTACTCTTCTCTTTACAACATAAAAGAAAACCCCTATCGAGATCCAATGCATTTCTATGCTAACAAATTCTATTTTGCGGAATCAACATTTGAAACAGTTGCGAATTTAAAGTCTACAAAGTTTCCAATTTCCCTTCAAATAGAACAATCTACACCCGTATGTTGGCTATAAATAAAAATAAGGAAGACCTTTTATTTTTATCAAGAGATTAGCAATTCTATGTTGATCGTAAGTCGTTATCGTCTGTAACGAAACAAAGATGGGCGTTTCTTGAACTCTCAGAAAATAACTTTATTACCAGTAGGTATAATGGAAATATCTTACCTTAAATTCAGATATAATACTTTATTTAAAATTCCAAAAAAAGAAATAGTTTAAATTATTTTATAGACACTCGTAGTTAGTAATCATAAATGGCAACAAATCGAGCAGCTTCCATACATTATTGTAAAGGAAAAAAAAGGGTGGTTTTTTGTACTTTGAACGCGGGCCAAGCCGCGGGTTCGAAACGAGAGTGAGTCGCTGTATAACATACTCGTAAATCCAGAGTGTTATTTGTAGATAGAACGCGGGCGAGGCCGCAGGCTCTGCTAGTTACAAGATAAAACGCGTAATTATATAACTTATTCACTGTACTAGATTTTTTTAACTACAGGATTCATTTAGGGATAGTAAATTTAATAATGAACGTTGATTCAATATTATTGTGAAACTGTTTAAATTAAATAAAGTCGTTCAAAATTAATTTACACTGTAAATTCGTTTCCCAAACTCTAGCAGACAAAGAGACGTGACTGAATTATTTTTAAAAATAAAACTAAAGTCTAAACTACTGTAGATACAACTTTGTAAATCAAATACAATTACAGTCGACTCTCGTTAATTCAAACCTGCGATAATTCGAACCTCTCTATAATTCAAAGTTATCACGAGTTCCCTACAAAATCTCTTGATATTTCGAACTAAATCAATACATTTTTATGCACTTGGTAATTCGAACAAAAAAATCATTGCTACGTAACAAAACGACACGTTAATTCGAACTCGTCGGCGTCAAACACTCGACAATTCAAAGTTGCAAAGAGAAAGAGATATGTATGTAGAAAGATTGTAAGTACATTTTGAGACAAGTTCAGACTTGTATCATCGTACACGAGCTTTTGTTTTTGTTATGATTAGTTTAACACACACTTCCGAACGAATTGGTTTGTTTAGTTTCGTTTCAGTTACTGTTACTCTTTCGTTGGTATACAGTTATTAAGCAGTCTGAGCAGCAGCAATGTGTTTTGAAGCAAACCAGTATAACAGAGTTCTTTCGAAAGATTAATTAATTCACATTATGGATATGTACACGAATGTACCTCTAAACTTTTGTCATTGTTAAAGGATAGCAGTTAATAATAATTAATCAACACTTAATAATTCGGAGTTTTATTTATTTTCTCTCAAAAATTTCGAACCATTTGATATTTCGAACACTCGATAATTCGTAATATTTTAAGAGTCCCTCGAGTTTCGAATTAACGAGAGTCGACTGTATATGTACCTACATACTATATTTGCACTCTAAGGAAATTTTATTTTGTAATTATATATGTAAATACGTAAGTCACTGCAAAGAGTAAAAGTTAATGCGTAATTTGCGTATAAACTTTCGGCAGGTCGATTCCGTTTATTAGATTGTTAGATTAAATAAATTATTTTTACAAATCGTACATACGTTGCGCGATTTATTTACTGAAGGCCGAGGGTTTTGTATTTTGTATTATACCACCATGGACTTTTGTTATACTCGTATGTATATTTACCAATAACGAAGAATCTATCTATGTCATCTGTCCCCCACTCGACTCTTTTAATAAGAAAACTAAGATCTCACTTAAACGTACCTTTTTACCCGACTGCGCGAGGCCAAAGAGAGTAATGTGTTCAGTCTATGTATGTATGTATTTATGTATGTTTGTTCCTATGTGGCGTTCTAGAGACCAAACTTACTTGTCTATATGGAAAAAAATCTTCCCAACCAATCGAGCGGGGTATCAAAATAAAGGTCTTTAAGTGGTGATCACAAAAATATATATACAACTTATATGTTTAAAATTAATTAAGCATAACAAATTGCTTACTACAAGCATAAAGGTTACCTAAAAATATGAAAACAAGATACGAAGGAATATAGTATTATGCAGTCGGAGACATACATACATATGTATGTACATCTCGCGGCAAAGACGACAGCGTATGTCTCCGACTGCATAATATTATATTCCTTCGTCAACTTGCTTTCATCCTTTTAGTTAGCTTTTATGCAGTCGGGTTTTTTATTTTATTTTTATAACACATTTTTTTAAAGAAACATATAAAATAATTCACTACAATAAAATTTCAAGCTCTATACATATATTACGTCAAACAGTTCCTGGTGTGATAATCGGCGATATCCTGTACAGTTTCCTTTTCGCGTGCTGTCGGCTGGTACAATTTTACTGCCACAGCTACTGCACACAATTTAGAATTGGCATATTTATTAGAACAATTCGTTCTGCTAGCAATTGGGGATTCCAGCGAAGTGAAGCACAAAGTAATTTTTATTCTACACCTAAATCTGTTGCAAATTGAAAGCCATATAAGTTAGATCGAACGATTTCCTCAGTAGGATAAGCCACATTATCTTTTGATTCCCTATTTAGAAAGCTTTTACACGTTATGGGACATTTTCTGTGTCCACGTTTTATATACCATGTTCTTATTTCAACTATAATATATGTACAGTGTACACTTTCATACATTACATACATACATACATTGTATATTATCTAGTGTGATATTCTAGGTCTGTCTTTTTTGATATTAAATGAGTTGTTCTTACCTATTTTGTAAATCTTTAAGAAACTTTCATTAATATTTATGCAGTTTCGTAAGTAATGACTATAGAATTGACTCTGTATAGAATTGAGCTAGATAAAGTTACATTAAAGTAGGTATATATTTCTCAACGCGTCTGCCATTTACGTTACCAATATATTGCTAAAAGAAATGATTAATAAAAAAAATAATTTACAAAAGTTAAAGAACCCTTTCACCCTTGCTGCCAGTTTTGACTCTTGCTACATGTAATTACCTATGTAAGTAGATTATGAGGTCTCCGACTGTATAATACTTTTTTTTTCCCAGTTAGAAATTTTTAGTTTCTTTTAGCCTACATTATTTTTAAACATGTAAATTTAAATATTTAATATATTTGTTTCGTTGCCTCTTAAAATCCTTTATTTGGCTGGTCGGGGACGATTTTTTTTTTCAGGTTACACTATTTAGCGTCTGACATTCGCATTTAATTTCGTGTAACGGATTATCAAGACAAATGTAACGACGTATGAATCACTAAAATAGGTATAGGATCGGACATACGGGTCAAACACATGACCCTCTTTAAATTTTGCCACAGTCAAGGAAAAAAAAACAGCTATAAAATGCACCACGTATGGAATACGTCTTCTAATTTGTTTTTTTTTTTTTTGTAAACGTTGTGTTTTACGATTTTAAGATTGCGATAATACCTATCTATAGTGCTTAAATTTGATGTATGAATATAATATTAGGTCGTAGTTTTTGATTGCTATTACTGAAACACCAAACTAGACACTAGTGGGATAGGAAATGTAGGTCAGCGTCTGATTAAATTCATCGAACCCTAAATAGGTATTACGCGGCACAACTTTGTTTGTGGACTATGAAATATAAATAAATTGTAGGTATCCTACGGCTTTGTAAGAATATTTTTAGGCATTTCAAGGTTTTTTTTCTCTTTAGTGTTTTGTTTGTATACCTATTACATATTAGGTACTGATATAATAAGTTTTAGTAATTATAGGTACTACTACTAACAATAAGGCATTGTATGATATTTTCGACCACTTTTGTATTCAATCCGAAATTATAATATTAATATAATTATACGACGTATATTTTAACTTAAATTACCTTCATAATCGATTTAAGTCATTTCTTTAAAATATTTCTGTCAATAATTTCTGTCGCAGACAAATAGCTTGATTTCCATAATTCAATGCAGTAGAAGACAAAAAACAACTACTTTTATAATTTCAGGGACGGTAGTAGGAGTTGGAGTAGGACTAACGCGAGACTGCTCAACGCTAATGGTAGCGCAATATTTCAAACGAAGACGCGAATTAGTGGAGATCTTCATTGTAAGTGGCAGCGGCCTCGGTATAGCTGTTATGTCCACTTTCATCAAAAGTGCAATCAGGTAGGTTATTTGCAAAGTCATGGCAGAATAAAAAGGTACAATACCAAGTTCAAATCCCAGATAAATATAAACATTATATTTTTAACTGAAAACATTTCTCCAAGCCTATTGTACTAACCTAAACAGCTAAGTGACCGATATTACAATTTTAGGTTTTTATTCACGAATATTTTCTATATTATGCTTACAAGTGTTATTTAACTATTATAGTTTTTATAGCTACTTACTAAATTACAGAGCTATCGGGTGGAGACTTGGACTGCAGGCGGTGACGGGAGTAGTTTTCGTCACATTCATACTTGGAACCTTTTACCGCTCTGCATCACTATACCATCCACAGAGACGTGCAATTCTGCACCTTAAAAATCAAAACAAGATCAAGAGGAAAATGAAAGACAAAAACAAATCAGATGATAGGCAGCCATTTTTCGACTTTTCTACACTTAGATCTAAAACTGTAAGAATCTTACTTATGTCTACTGGAATATCAGCATTTGGGATCAATACACCAATATTTTATTTAGCTTATCATGCTGAAGAAGAAGGTAATTAGCGACTTTGTAATATAAAATTATCATAAAATGCTTATTATGTCCAAAAATGATTTTATGAAGACAATGTGCATTTTTAAAATGAAATAGCGTCCTCTTGTTTAGTTCAGAGAAATTATTTAGGTATTAATTATTTAGTAGGTATATATTATACTAAATTATATAAGTTTTACTAATATCGTACTTGTATGGACGCGATGCTTGAAAGAACAAAAATTAAAAATCTGTAATTTAGAAGTACATAGATATATGTAGGTATTATAATCTTTTTTACGATACGATCCACATTAAAATTTTATCATTCAATTAAATTTAGGATTAGGCGATACGGCAGAACTACTCCAAGCATATCTCGGACTGGCATGGGCAGTGGGCTGTGCGGCTTTCGGGCTTTTAGTTCGACAAAAATCTGCGGAATGTCGTATCGCGAGGCAATATCTCACGCAAGCTGCAGTTTTTGTATGTGGACTGGCAACAATGGCGCTGACTGCTGTAGAGGGCTCATATAGAGGATATGTGATGTTCGCTTGGGTTTATGGTATTCATTTATTTATATACATTTGAAGTTACTACTAGATACACTATTTAGAAAAGGAACGCAAAATATTTAAACCGTTGTTTTTACCACCTATAGTATAAACCTGAAATTAAGAAAAAGAGTTCGCTTACCAGCGCCAGCTGACTAATTCTAAACATTTTTTATTGTTAAATTAGTTAATATTTGTACATACCTAGATATATGTAGATACATATAGCTAGCGTAACCTCATAGAAATATGTAAACCAATTAATTACCTTAACGTTAGTGATACATCTTTGTAAGTTATAAACAGATTGGAAGTACATTTCTATTTTTGACCGACTTCAAAAAAGAGGTCGTACTTACATAACTCCTGCATTTTTGTGTGTAGGTATGTATATTAGATATCAACCGTTGATTTTTTTGTTTGTATTTTTTTTAATAAATCATACCTCAATGTGCTTATGTCATCTCAATATATGTATAAAGTTAAAAAAAAACCTCAATCAAAAAAATCATTTTAAAGAGATTATGAAGTCGGTGTGTACCTTATTAGGTACCTTTCATTTTTAACGTTGGGAAATGCATTTACGCACGACGTGTGGGACTCACCGGCGTAATACAGCCAGTACTACCCACTAAAACCCAACAAAACCTTCCCCCGTCTTAATGGGGCGTCGCAGGATCGCTTACGCATTCAACTACGACGCCCCGACAGCAGGTCTGCCGAAGCAGACCTCCACAACCATGGGGTTGCTCCAAGGTCCACTCTGCTATCAGAGAAGTACCAGGAGCAATTCGCATGGTACACCGCCCTCCGAAGAGGGCCACCTCCCACCGCCCACCGAAGTGGGCAACCTCCCTGTCCGTTTCTTAGCTTCGCGCCCGGTTGGATTGCCGGGCACTACTGAGCCCCCCCCACCACGACAAGGTGAACGCACGTTGGGGGGGACCTTATTAGGTACCTACTTCAAATGCAATTATCCAAAAAATATGCATATAACAAAAACAAAGCAAGCAAACTAAAAACATATTTTCTACGCTCTTTTTTTTAAATTTGCAGGTATATTCTGCGGTGGGTATCATTACTCGCTAAAGATGTACACATACGAACGAGTGCGGTCACGCAATTTCGCGCGCACGTGGGGCTTCGTGCAGTGCTCGCAAGCCGTACCCATTGCTATAGGGGTGCCGCTTTCTGGTAAATGTGATTCAGATATGTTATCTAAATAAATGCAATTATTACTTAGGCATAAAATAAGGGAAAACGACTGACGCAACGTGAAATTTCCTTGGTAGATGTAAGTTCTAGAAAGGCGAATTTTACGGTTTGTATGAGCATTAACTTTTAAGATTTTTTTAGTAAAACTGGCGTTTGCTCAAATGAGTAAAAATAAATAATCAAAAGAGTAATATATACTAATTAAAGTATTCCTGATTTACTTCATTATAGATAATATGTATGTATCTAAACGTGAATATATGTTAGTTTTATTCTTCTTTTACACATCTACAAAGTAACAAACAATTTCATTTTTTTATTTAGAGAAAATGTTTAAACAATTTATACCGGAGTGAGAACTAACAGGCTGAGCTTTTTGTGTCGATTACAAAAAGCGTAAAGAATGCAAAATTTCAGAATTAAGCTAACATAATAGTCAGAAAAATGCAATTACAGACACATATAATAATGAATTAGGGTACATAAACGTGGGTTGCGGCGGCAAGGCGGGCTACTACTTCAGCTCGACGTGCTCGCTCATCGGCTCACTGTCACTCTTCTGCATCGACCTCCATCGGCGTAGCGTTGCTCATAAACACACCAAGTATGATTTTTCTGTACATTTATTTGTATTTTAAACTGTGTAATCAATTTTGTAAAATATTCTAAAATACTGCCATAACTCAATCTTCCTTAATAATGTAAAGGTCTAGGAATATTTTTAAGTTATTTTTTTGTAAACCTATTTAAGCTAATATCACTTTACGGAATTTTATGAGATTTTTAATGTACACGAGAAAAAAAATAAAGAAAAATAAAGAAAAATAAAGAACATTGCTCACTTCAATTGGTCAAGTAGATCTCTATAGATAGCTTAAACTTCACGCTTTACGAGGTTACATATCTTTATATGTTTTACCATAAACTATTATGATTCTGGTTATACGTGCGAAACAAATATTCCAAAATAAAGTTTTATTTACTTCATATTTCATTTCTAACAAAAGAAAGGACAGATAAGGCAAAAAGGTTTAAGAACTATTAGCAAGCTAAATTTCTTACTAACAAAACATTTAAAGTAAATATGTACATATTTAATAATATTTCAATCCTTTTAACATTCCACTGCTTTGCCAGATATCCCTTAATATGAGGTATCAAATCCTGGTCCACCATCCGGGCCAAGTGAGGGTTGGCAGACTTCACAGATCTTTCGAAAACTCGTTTAACTTTGAAGTAATAATCACGTTGAAAATGATTCGCTGATGGAAATATCAAAACGCGAGATTGCGAGACCCGGATTTGAACCTATTTCACGTAGATATTCAAGTGAGCATGTTACCAATGGTTACCTTATATTATATGAGTAAATTTGTTTACAGAGAAAACGGTGGTACTGTAGGCTGTGAGTCAATAAGCGTGCCTCGTCGCGATCGCGAGCCACGCACCGCTGCTGGAGCCGCCACCGCCTTAGGTAATTATTATATAGGTACCTATGTACCTATTATATGCAAAGTACAAACATCTATAAAATGGGGAAAATGTAAAATGTTATGTAAAATAAATCTTCTTCTTCTTCTGCCCATTTACCAAATTACTTGGGGTCGGTGCAGTACGTCCATACTACTTATTGGTTTTGGCAAAAAAAATCCGATCGGCGTCTGACATCAACCCTCTTTGGGAATGCTGTTATTCGCCAGCCATCGAGCAAGGGACTTAAGGTTGCGATGTCCCTAGATCTTTTAGTCGTCTTCTACGACACCTATATGAGGAGGTAGGCTAGCCCTATTCTAAGCCGGGCGCTACACGGCTATATAAATTATATAAAAAAACTTGTCAAAAATCAAAAACCATCGTTAATTTTCCTTATACAACTAAATTAACTAGTCAACGATGTACTCAATAATTATCGCAGCAGACATCTTAAAGTTTTATAATTGCAAAATTTTTGAAGCCAAGAAAATTGAATTGAATAATTGTAAAATGATTTAATATGTTACACATCATAAATAGAGAAAAATCTTGACAGACCTAACTCCTAATATTTATTGTTAAAACATTTAAGTTCTAGGCGCAGAGCTAGTAGCACCAGGCCGAGCAGGGCGTGATCTGCTATTGGACAGCATCGGTCCAGGGAGCTTAGGTTCCCCGCCACCCAACCTCCCTCCAGAACTAACCTGCATAAGCGAGGAAGGAGGTCTAGACTTAGACTTAGATCTAGATATACCGGAGCACCTACTAGAGGAGCTGGATTGCGGTGGTGACTGTATTACTAGTTGCAATAAGGTACATAATTTTTTTTTCATATTACAAAGAGACTTTAGATGGCGGAATAAAAGATTAAAATTAAAATTTGGTATTATATACTACTTTAATAAATTTTTAGCTCTTTCCATGAACGAATATTGAAAAAGCATACAAAATTTTCATTATTATTAATTGTTATTTTTGTACTGTTACTGTTTAAAAAAGATGATTATAGACTGAAAAATCTGTATAAGAAGTCTGTGTAATTTTTCCGACCGACACGACATCGTAAAGGAGAAGGTACAGAATTCGCGTTAATATATTACAGAGGTAGACATTGTCAGGTATATCTCAGCCAATTGAAATATTTTTTTAATAAAAACCTATATAGACTTCAATCAGGTCCCATAGTATTATTATTTTAAATTACAAATTCTATACGCTTATATATTTGTTTTTGTAGAAAAGTAAATATTATTAATATCTACTTAATTTTAGAATTGATAATATATGTGTGTACTCTACAGGTTGAAAACTACCTGATGCTCAGTGAGTACGAAAACAATCTGATAGCTGAGCTTCCAAATCTGAATGAACGACGAGGTCGACGTTGGTCCATCGTCGTTAACTCCAACTCTCCCCAGCCTTCTACAAACCAAGAAAACCAAAGCACTAGTCCTGAACATACCAATTCTGTCAAGTGGAAGAAAAAGTGCCATACAAACAACAGACTGATCACAGTGATCAATGAACAGTCATTATAAACTACTAGTGAAATGAATTGAGACAATAAATAGAGTAACTCGTAGTGTACCAATGACCTATTTAACCTCATAATTTATTTGTCGTGTGTGTAAAGTAGCATCATTTGTGTATTGTTCTATATTATTTATTAAATTATTATTAAATTCTTCGACCTTGTTTTTTTTGCCCTTTGCTATTTAAAATAAATAAATATAAATAATAAATATATGTCGGGACATTAACATACAGCACCATCTAGTTCCATGATAAGCTAAGAGGCTCGTGTTATGGATACTAGATAGTTGATACACTACACATCTGTACCTTTAAATACATACATATTATAAATATACATAATATACCCATGACTGGAGTCGAACATTCGTGTTCATTACACAAATGGTTGCCCCCAGCGAGACTCGGAATCCACGACTGCTGTCACAGCGAGTTAACTATAAACTGAACCAAACATGTCGTCAATTTGCTATCGATATGTAATTTAATAATTTACAGAACTATAGAGACTGAAATGAAATTTTGTATGTGTAAGCTTGTTATTACTTTACGCTGAAACGTCCATCCTGTGGATTTGGATGAAAAATAAACAGAAAAACTAGAAGAGTAAAACATAAGCTAATGTCAGTAATAATTATGCCAAAAGATGGCGCCAGCATATAATATTATTACCTGTATTTTTTATACGAGAGAACAATCGAGAGAACACTTCCATATTATAATATGTAATAGTAGTACGATTTTTGACTGACTTTAAATAAGATCTCAGTTCGCCTGTACTTTTTTTGTACTCGATATATTTGGCAAGGATCAATTTTCATTCAATAGGTTATACTTCAAAAGCGGTCCCAAATAAGTTTCAAAATAAATTCTACCTTTATGGGTTGCTTATAACGTGCTTTTGAAAAACAATGTACCTAATCTTCTTATATAGAGTTTTTGTTAAATAGTAGTTAGTACAAAGTGATCACCACTTTTACGGTTTTATAACCTAGTGTCAACAAACGAAAATCAATTACAATTAGCGCCGCCCGACTTCGCATCAAAGTAAAAGCAGTCAAACTCAAACATTTCAAATGATTCGGAAATATTAATGTGCTGATAATATAACTAAACTATTTTGTTCACAAAAAAGATTTATATATTTTTAGTAATCATACTGTATATCATATCTAAATATTATATTAATTATCCATTTTTCCGTACCTCAAAAGGAAAAAAGGAACCCTTACAGGATCACTGTTGTCCCTTTGTCTGTCAAAACCCTTTTTCTCAGGAACGCATGGAGGTATCGAGATGAAATTTATATCAAATACTCAGGTCTGTAATCCCTTGGATCTGTGAAAAAATCTTCTAAGTCAACATAATCAAAAGATACGGCCGATTATCCGCATATTTATAAGAATGAGACACTAATTTAAACAACAGCTTTACTTTTCCTATATTTAAAATGTATGATGATAGATATTTTTTATTATTATAAATTCTCAAAATAACACAGTTACATTTGTATACTGAAACAGATATAAAGAAAAATAAAACACATACTACAAGAGGGTAATTAAATATATTGACCTTTTGTTATCCATAATAGTAATAATATTAATAATTCGTAAACTAGCGAATACAATACTGCACAAAAATATGTTTAGAATACTATAATATATTATAATCTTTGTGGGGTTACAATGTCTTCTAGGAATTGGGCAAAACAACGCATTGCTTGTAACAGAGCCGCGAGTAGGATCGAAAGGGACAAACTTACCAACTTCTGACTCTCCGACTTTACAATTTCGTTGCGAACAGGAACTAAACTTTTACTTTCGTCACTTAGTGTCGTATCTTCGTACACATTTCTACCGACCGCTTCGTACTTTACAGAATCACTATCACTATCGTACACATTTATCACAATGAAATTAGAATCGATCACATCGCTTCCGCCCGAAACGTTTATATTAACATTAGAACAACTAGGAATTTCATTCCAAAGCACAGCACGTTGATTATCATTTGTTAGGCACTTTTCACTATTGGCTACTGTATCACTAACTTTATTGTAAACGTATCGCATTGACTCGTCGTTTTCTCCCGACGACATACCACTATCGTTATCTACTAAACATTTAAATGGAGAGATATGATTGGAATTGTTTTCGTTATAACTAGGTTTTGTTTTATCAAAACTTCCATAATTGTGTACCGTGCCCTTAGAGGGCACGGCCTCGGGTCAGGACACTTTACCGCATGCGATACTCCTGGCTATAACTATCGTATTCGATATAGGCTCCCGATTTTCAAATATACTATCGACATCGGAGAGTGACGCGTTGTTCAGCGAACAACCATCATCCAGAAGTAACTCTGTTCGAAGCCCCTGTAAATTGAAATTGAAAAAAATCAAATTTCGAACTAAAACATACGTACCTAACTTAGTTTTATACTTTTTTTTGTGCTTTTATTTTAGCTGGTTTTTAAGAAAACATTAAAATCTGTAGAACATGAACTGTAAATTGTAATGAAATAAAATCGTACGTTTGGTTTATCAACAAAATCTTCAAGTCTACTTCGCCAGATAAATAATTTAATTTGTATATAAGAAATTTTGTATTTAAATTGCTTTCTTTACAAGAATATTTGACTGTTTTTAATGAAATACACATACGTAATATAAGACGAAGCTTAAAAGTAGCACCAGTGACAGAGAAGTTGAAAAGAAATCGGCTAAGTTGGTATGGACATGTGAATTGTGAAGAGGAGGGATGTAACGCATGTGACGAAAGGAGTGATGGACATGAACGTAGATGGATGGAGAGGTAGAGGAAGACCGAAAGAAGATGGATATATTGTGTGAGACAGGACATGAAAAAGAAAGGTGTGAACGATTAGGTGACGAATAATAGGGGAGAGTGAAAGAGAAAGACTAACTGTGCCGACCCCGAGTAACTTGGGAAATGGGCAGGGAGATAAAGACTTATATGTAACGAAATTTATAAATCACATAATCAATTTCTTTTATTTTAATTTTAACTAACACCTTAATAATTTAATCGTACTTAAGTGTAATAGAGTTGTTATTATGGCTTATTAGTTAAAAGTAAAATTAAATTCTAATAGGAATACTCATCCTCTCAGTTCTTATTTGTCCAAACGACCGAAAATTTATTACTTATTTAATTTTAAATATCAATTCATTTATAATAAATACACATTTTACTCGTACTTTAATAAAGCCGAAAAAATATATTTTATCCATATATTATGTATATAAAGAATATAGCTTTTTTAAATAGGCGACGTACTGTCGTTTGTTTACAAAAAAGAACTATCAAAATCAGTTCATAATTCACAATAACATTCGATTAAAAGTTTATGAAGCAGTTGAAATTTCTTAAAAGCATAGGTATTTAGAAAATGAAAACTCAAGTCATTGCCGGTTCGTTGAACAAGGCTGCAATAATTTCAGAATCATGTCACTATCTCACGATCTCGTACTATCTATAGTAAAGACCGTTATATAAAATTGTATAGACCTTTTTACATCATCCTATGTAACATAATTACAACTATGAAAGGTATTGCTAAATAAACGAAACTAATTCATTCTATGAACTAACATTAAAATCAAACTGTCTGTAGGTATGTAAGTTTACGTTAATGTTTGTTCGTGATTACAAAATGGCCTTTCTATGTTATACTTCGATTGTAATCGTGACAACAAAAGCATAAAATTCTTATTTCTTTATTTCTAACCATCTGTGGAGGCTTCTTACGTACTATTAATACATACATTCTATTTTGACTGTTTTATTAATGTAAATAAAATATTTTTACAATATAAAAATATAGGCAGCTTTAAGCAAATAATACTTTCTTAGATTTACGCGAATATTTGACATTTTAAATAAAACTATCTTTTCGGATTTTTTTCACGAATTTATTTTGATTTTTGTAAATTTATTATTGATTATAAAAATGTTTAAAATTAACAAGTATGTATTTTATTTGGTACTTTGAAGCCATTTTTGATTTTTTTGAATTCATTCATTTTTGTTAATTTATGGGGAGGCTGTCTGTTACAACTATATAATGCTTTAGAGACATCTTAAACCTCAGTCTCTCCCATGACCATGATTGCTGTAAAGCATTCGAAACGTCCTGAACCAAAAATTAAAATAAATCTGCGACAAAATCCGAAAAGATAGTTTTATTAAAAAAAGCTTTAGGCAAATTTAGAAAAAAAAGTTTTTTTTTCATACGCCTAATCTAATAGTAATTATAGTATAAAAAATGAGAAATAATTACCTCTGAAAAATATTCATAGTCCTTTTCAAATGACAATAAAAATATACAGAATATTCCTGTCAGAATATAACTACACAGGGAACTTACGACGTGACACACGTAAACGCCTCTTGTACCATCTGTAAAATAAAAATATTGTATGTATGTAACTTTAACTTTTGGCTTACTTTAAAATAGGAGAAAAACCTATTTTGAAAAAACCTTTTTGTTTAATGTACGCAATATCCTTGTCAATAATTTTATGGTAATGAATATTATTTTTCATAAACTAACGTTATAAATTTCTAGAAGAAATCAAATATAAATATTTACTTTTAAAGGGTAGTTTTAATATCATATGGTAGTATTATATATCACGGTGAGGGATCTGGCATAGGACCCACAGCTGTACGTGCTCTCCTTAGGGGTGAAACACCGCCAACGGTTCCATCACACTTTTGTATTTTAACATAAATTCATAAGCCTGTAAAATTCTATACACATATCCGAAGTAAGTATAATTAAAAATTACCTTCAGGCAAAAATGAAGACACGGTGCCAAATATTGCCATCACAACTAGAATGGGGAAGCTCACATTTGCAAGGCATTGCCTAAGAACTGTTAATCTTTTGTCAAAGAAAAGTGTACAAATATATGTAGTAATGATGCACTGAAAATGAAAGATTATATAAAATAAATTGTAACCTACATATAAATAATATTAAATAATATTTGGAATGACACTTCTTTAACAACGCGAAAAATTAATAAATATATTAGACAAGCCTAAACAATGTTTACTATATCAGCCTAGACTTAATTTTTGTTAGTTGAAAACATTTAACATCGTTTAAATTGATTCACAAATATTGGCGAAAATAGGTGGAGTAGCATGGGTAATGTGCGCTGTACACACTGTATGCAAGTATTGGCTAAATTTAGCAATTCCTATTTATAAAAATCGAATAAAAAGGAAAATTTTATGCCCTCAAGGAGTAGGTACTCTTTTGCTATTAAAATGGAAAAAATAATGATCAATGCACCAAAATCTTTCTATTTCTTATCTCTTTAGATAAAAAATAGAAAGTACAGAGATATGGATGACTTGGTCGACGCGATTCATTACTATTATTTTGTTTTGTTTTGATTTAATTCCCTCTACCTTGTCTCCAACAATTTAGAACTTAATAATTACTTGCAGCGTCAGAATACGTCAAAGAAATTTCATTTATTTCAAAACATTTGTTTTAATGTTACCTGCACCCACATGTACAAAGTTCCAAATCCACATATAAATATATTTAACGCTCTTAGACATTGTTCATCCACCTGCAATAATAATGTTGAATAAGTAATCTTACAAATAAACATTGTAAAATCTTTAAAAATTTGTAACTTTAAATGAAAGTTTATATATAAAACAGACTAATAAAGATGAGAAGGCCATTTCAAGGTGAAGAAGTGTCATGCACGAGCTGATTTCTCACTCACTGGAGCTCTTAACATCTATACATACATATATAATAAAATTCTGAGTCGAATCTGTACATTCAATATTTTTTGGAAAATGCTAATGAAATATTCATTATTATAGATACAAAGGCCGAATCTATAGTTTTTTTTTTTAAATTGTCTGTTTGTCTGGAAACGCATCACGAGAAAACAACTGGACAGATTTTGATGAAATTTGATATGATATAGGATACTTTTACTGCGGAAAAATTTCTCATCTCTGAGTAATCGATACTTAACCATAAAACTTAAAATATAACTTTAAAATGATTTCAGACTAAGATACACAAACTAACTAACTAGCTAAGTGCGTAGCGTCGTCCATAACCGCCATAATGAACATTTCTCTATAATGCATAATACAAATAATTTATTCGTAGAATGCACATCATTTCACAAGCGCGACTTTGAATTGATTTATAATTTTATTACATATCACATAATATGTGTATATCGATAGGATAACGAAATATTGGCAGAACTACTTCACTGATTCTTAAGAAAACATAAAGCGTCGAAACGGAAATGTAGAAAAATCTGGTCAGCTAAGATTTCATAATATCATGTTTTAAAAATTAATTTGAAGGGATCTACGTGTATGTGTGTACATATATTTGTATTGGATTCCGTAAGTATATTGCAACCACCATAATAATTCGCACCGTTCAAAAGACAGCTTAATAAATGGTTTTCTTCTTTCAAGCAGCTTGTTTCGCCAGTCTACCATATACGGCTGCCGAACAGGGGTTTCTGAGTTCACGGGGCTTGTAGTATAGTTAATGGGTTTTTCTGTTAAGAAATACTCAGTAATAGCCCGAAGTTGGGAAGCTAGCGATGATACACCCTCGTACCTCGGAGAGCATGCAAAACAGGCTGCGCTTTAACTCTCACCAGTCGTATGAAATTGCCGTTTCGCAAGACTTTGAGAGTGAAAGGAATAAAGAGAGCACTTGTCTGTACACACACTTAATCTATACTATAATAAAACAGTAGAGGTCGAATGTCCGTACATAGCAAAAAAATGCTAAAAACCGACTGAGGGGGATGTAAGAAAATAAATAGAACAAATCCAGATTTTTTCAAATTTTTTGTTTCTCTGTCTGTCTGTTTGTCTGTTTGTACGGGCTAATCTCCGAATCTGTAGGACCGATTTAAATGAAATTTTGCATGGTGGTACCTTATATCCCCGGGCAACATCTTAGATACTTTTTATCCCGGAAAATTAAATAGTTCCCGTGGGATGGTTAAAAAACTATAATAACTTATACAGCTTAATACACTAAAACGACTGATTGGATTTTAATAAAACTTTACAATAATATAGTTCATACATGACAATAACATATCGGCTACTTTTCATGCCGGAAAATTAAAGGGTTCCCGTGGGACAGTCAAAAAACTATAGTAAGTTATACAACTTAGTACACAAAAACTACTGATTGGATTTTGATGAAACTTTACAATAATATATGTCATACATAAGATTAACAAATAGGTTACTTACATATCCTGATTTGTTTGCCTGTATGTCTGTTTGTCTGTTTTAGTATGCGCGTTTCACGCGAAAAGTAATGAACCGATTACAACCAGATTCGGTGAAATGGTCACTTATTACTCGAGTCAACATTTAGGATACCTTTTACTTCTAGAAAATCTTTCTTTCCCACGGGAAAATACTATACTGGTTTTATCGAGTCCTCCCTTGAAAACTTCCGCTGGCTAAACCTTAAGACGGGCTAATCTCCGAAACTGTTGGACCGATTTAAATGAAATTTTGCGTGGTGGTACCTTATATCCTCGTATACCCCAGTTATCCGTATCAACGATACTTTTTACTGTGGGAAAATATCTCATCTCTGAGAAATCTATGATAACCATTAAAACGTATCTAGGAACAAACCCGACCGGAGAGAGGATGAGTAGCTAGTGTACTATGTATTGCATAATATCTCAGGTCGCCATGGATGAAATAGTTCAGAAAGTAATTGAATTTTTATCTTCTGAACAAGAGAGACATTTGCTACTTTTTGTCACAGTACATAAAGGTGTTTCAATTTTGTGAGATGTTTAAAAAAATTACTGAAGGTGGCACAGGTGTAGAGAGCGTCAGTGAAGCCTAGGGGGTTATTTATCCTCATTATTTAACTTGTGTTATATTTTTAAAAGGCAACATTTGTAAGCATTACACATAAAATTATTGACAAAAAAATCTATTGAATTGCAACTTATTGTGGTAGTTAAGTTTTCTTCTATTTGTTACCTGATCATAAAAACACTAGGTAATATTGTGGTAAGTTACAAAACCTATAGTTATTAACCTGAATACCATATAATTGTTGTAACAAATAATGTGAAAGAATAAATTAAAATTTGTTGGGATGAATTATTAGAAGAGGTATTGTATTATGAAATTAGTTGGTTTCATCCTTTTTAAGTAGAAATGTGAATGAGTAAGACCATAAGAAATAAATTGAATAAGTACCCATTGTAACTGTCATGAACCCCTTAAATAGGTCATATTAATTATTATAAATAGAATGCTGCATCATGCAATATGTATTTCAACTGGATAATCTATGAATAAAGAATATATGAAGTAGATAATCAAACTATAATATAATAAATATTAAATAATTAAAAAAAATTGTAGGGGTCAAGTACTTTCTAATATTACTTACTTTATATGTATATGTAAAATATATTTCTAATAAACCAGTATATGGAAATTTAAACAGAGATCCTAATTCTTTTATGTTTTCCATTCTTACCTTAAATAAAAACAAAAAGTAGTAGACGAGGAAGCCCAGTGACAAAAATGAGGCTGAGAAACAAGATATCCTATTGGCAAAGGAAGTCACATTCGGATTTGGGGTTAGTGATCCTAGTATATGAATTTGCTGGTATCTGTCATATATGATTTTGCCAGCTGAAAAAATTGCTTGTTAGCACATATCACACATGATTTTATATATAATAATTAGGCAATGAATTATATGTAACAGTACATAAAATACATGCAAATATGCACTTGTGCATTAAATATTTTTATATAATCCATTGTCCCTTATAATGTTAGAATTTCATAAATCACCCAGTTACTTAAAAATATAACACTGAAGATACACTACTTATGTAAAATAAAAAAACTATCACAATAATATCATTTAAATATAATATGAAATATATTATAAGAGCTTAAAAGCATTAAGTCAATATTTCAAGTATTTAAATAGAGTTTTATATTTCTAACAATAAATTGTATAGAAATATGAATAATGTGTGATGATAATATTAATATGTTAATAAAATAAATATTGTGAATTTAATAAATAAAACTTGAATAAAAATAATAAATTATATTATTAATTATATTATATTATATTTTTAATGAATCAAAGCTTTAAATGTCCTTCTTAATGAAACTTAGAAACCTTTTTAGTAAAATTTTAATAATTGTATTTGCATGTAATACATTTATTTATTCTCACCTAATGCTCCACTGGCTACATACATAAATGCAAGGCCAGTGTCGAAAAAGTTTGTTTGGGTAACAACTTGAGAACAAAGGCTGAAAAAAGAGGATAAATGTTTAACAAATAGGAATATAAATAACAATCGCAATATCTGTTTAAAATACACTGTAAAGTGAAAGGCGAAAGTTATAATACAAAACAAAAAATCATATATCTATTAGACGATGTACTTATAAACATAACAAGCCTTATAATAGGTAAAGTATAAAGTATAAATATTATACAATAATCTAAAAGGTGAAGCAGAATAGCGCAAAAATACTTAAACGACAGTTTCGAAGTATTTTTAAATTTAAGAAATTAATTTAATAATTAAATAAAAGAGATAACTTACGATAAAATATAAGTTGAAGATAATATAATAAGCGCACATTTAAAAATTATCATATTAAGCACAAATAAAAGTTAGATTAACAAAATCCAATTATGTACTGTAAAATGTACACACAACACAACCAGTCAGACGTCAATAAAGTTCTGTCACTGTCACAAGTCACAACTCTTAATGCACAACTCAAGGTTTTATTACTTTACCGTCGATAGACCTCATAGATGAGAAATAAAAATAGACATAGAGAAATATAGATTCTCTAGATTTATGTAATTCGCATACTAATAATACTACATGACTACCAAGAAATATTTGAAAATGTTGAAAATAGGTTTATTATTATCATATATGACTCGTTATCCATGGGAAAGTTGTCACGCGGTCGATCATCCACGCCGGACAGACCTTATAAAAACTGCAAGTTACAACTTGCAACACAAACCTCAATAGTCCCATGTTCCCGAGACGCTGAAGACCGCAACAAATGGAGGCGCATCGCGAGGACTGCATTAGCCAGAGAAAATGCATCTTCATCAACCACGAGCACTCTGAACTCAAGAGTGAACGACTGAGGAAAGAGAGTGGCTCATGGCTGGTTGTAATGTTTCATGTATAATAACTGTACTATGTTAAATAGGGAATCATATACCTATACATAATACATCGTTATAAAATTTAAAAAAAATATCCAGCTCCAAAAAAACTAAAATTTAGTATAAAAAAACTTTAATATCATACATCCGATACAGATACTTTAAACGCCCGCCATTTCGCGCGCTTTGCGTCACGTCACAGTACATATATTATACACAAAAAAATGACGCAATTTGTATATAATTATTCTCTTAATAAAAAAGAAATTACATTAAAATATATTAATATAGACTTAATTCAAAAGCAATGAAGATTATAAAAAAAATATATTTCCCTATTCCTCATTAGTAATTACGCATTATATTTTAAAAAGAACAGTTTAATTTAATATTTAGCAGGACGGTGTGGTTCTTTGCCTTGGTGAAAAAAAAATTTAAATATAAAAAAATAGAAATTATGGAAGGCTCACTACGGGACTAGGCTTAAAAGATGAATGATGGATAGAAGTTTAAAATAGAAAATTTTCAAAAAAATCGAAACATAGTTTTAAAAACATGATTGAAAACTTAAAATTCAATAGTCTCGATTAAAACATTTTAAATATATTTTTTTTATATTTTTTTATGTGAAGGTCATCTAACTAAACTAACTAACTTCGATCATTATTAAGAAAGTTATGAGCAAAAAACCAATAAAGAGAAGTTTTTTTGAAAATTCGATATTTTTGAACCAGTAATAAAAAAAAATCTCATAATTTACCAGGAAGCTTCTTTTTAGAGGTACTAAAAATACCAATATAATAAGATAATCAAAAACAAAAAATTAAAAAGTGCGTCTATGAATGTGTACACGCGCAAGAAGTAAAACTTCTGTAGATTATCGGTACTCTTTATGAAATTCAATTTATGTTTTAAATAATTAGGATAGGTGAGATACTACAAATAACGCATATTAGGCATATTACAATCATATATTTACAGAATATAATTTAAGGAAGGAATATAATATTATATATCATTTGTCAGACAATAACTACGGTTACCATGGCAACAAACATTCGCCTCGTATACTTATAACATTACTCACTTCGCTCGGGTTCGACTCTTTATAAAACAAATCCAAAATAACCCACGGGAACCGTACTTTTTCCGGGGTAAAAAGTAACTTATGTGTTATTCTGATATATAAGCAATATTATTTCAAAGTTTCATCAAAATCCATTCAGTAGTTTTTGCGTAAAAGAGTAACAAACATACATTCATACATACATACATTCTTACAAACTTTCGCGCTATAATATTATTAGGATATTTCTCATTTGTCAAACAAAAACAATGGTTACCATGGCAACAAACGTACATACATTTTTTCGTCACGCATTCACCAGCTCACCCTCCAAGTCAAGCGTGCGTAAGGAAGTTTTACTTCAATAATTTTTGTAACCGTCCGATTTGGCGTGGAATGCACCCTAAGTAGGTACCTTATACTTTTTTCTAGTCTGTGGTTACAAACTATATGTATTATCTATCATGGTTATCTATCATCTATGGGTGAACCGTGAAACTGTCAAGTGTCATCTGTCATTTGATTTCTGAATTCTGAAATCAATAATCAAAATTACCGCTAAAATAAATAGTAACTAAACTTTACATTTACAATTAAAAAATTAAAAAAAGCTATAAAAACCTTCTCTTTTCAAAATAAATCGAGCCAACAATATCAAGAGAATATATAACTTTCTATTTTAGATTCCTTTATACGAACATATTTACTTTAGGCAATAGCCGTTATACGAAGAAGTAAATAGAAATATTAAGTAGGTAATAAGTATAATGTCTACGTTACAACCAATACATGCATTAAATTTAGGTGAGAAATTTATAATATGTAGGTATATGAAATATTTTTTCGCTAACATATTTTGTTTTATACATCCATTTTTACAATTAAAATATTAGAAGGGCTTCCTAAGGGGGCCATTTTTATTTTTGATACATAGAAATAATTTTCTAATTGGATAGTCATAATCTGAATTGACTCAACTGTACAATCTATGACGTCGAGTTGAAATTTCAAATTTTTTTCACTACTATATCTCTGTTAGAAGCCTATATATAAAGTTTGAGACCGCGGAAACAAATAAAAAAAAAGAAAGTTTCAAGTTTCAACTTTTTATGTAATTTTACCACATTTATACACGCAGTTATCGATGTTTTTCACAAAGTTCTTTACAATATACTATATTCTGAGTTATTATCAATCATTATTGTAGTTAAATACACAATTTAATAGTTAAAATCTTGATTTATTTGTACGTAATAACAAATATAAACTGGTACCTCCTCCCCTACCATCTCTCCCTTAAATCGATGTCATAAATGGTACAGTTAAACCTCTGAATTATATATGTATGTCAATCTTTTGGCTATCTGTCTTTATCTCCCTAGTAGTTAATTTCTTAGTAGGTTTAGTGAAATGGTGGCAATGGATAATGGATATGCAGACAGTCACATAAGACATACTGTAAAAATTCCACTTTTCATAGGATTTATATAACATACATTCAATGAAACATTAAAGGATGTCAATGTTTCAAAATCTATTAATTATTATAATTCATGCTAATTTACATTAAATACTTAAGATCCACTTAATGTCCCTATGTAATATTTTATCCAAAAATTATTATTACTGAAATAAAATATATAGCCTATGTTACTTTGGATAATGTATCTTTATTATAGTAAAAGAATAATTTCAATCAATTTAGTATTTTAAGAGTTTATGAAATACAAAATAACAAATCTTTCTTCTATTTATTATTAGTATATAAGAAAAATCTGATTAATAACTAAATGTTCACACAACTTCTAAGCCATATCTGAGGAATTCTTCTATAAAAATAGCTTCCGATTTTCTCAATAATAATGATCAAAATCTAAATCACATCTCATGGAGATCGATTCAACTATTTTTTTTTTATAAAATAAATATTTAATACAGGAAAAATTAAAAAATATAGCAAGAGATTCTTAAAAATCTTTTATTGTAAATCTATATCATTTCATTATAAAGATATTTAAATAGCCAAAATTACATGCAACAAAAACCAAACACACAACCATGGTTTTACTAGAAATAAAAATCAATTACAACTAAACAAATGTGGCAAATAATTCTTCATAAATATTCTCACTATGTATATCATTTAATTATAAAGATATTTAAATCCCAAATTATGTTCAACAGGAAAACAATTTCTGTATTATAAATAAAAAGCACAGGTTTGTAAATTTTTTTGATTAATTTAAAAACTTCCTTTATATTTCAGATTCAATACAACAGCAGGCATTCATTAAATACTTCCACTCTTTACCTGAAGTAAGTAAAGTCACAAATAAATATGAAATTATACAATATTATGTATACATATATATGAAATTATACAATACTATGTAACATTTATTTAGGTAAAATATTTTATTCACAATACTTAGAAAGAAGATTTTGAAGTGAAAACTTCTTTAGCCACATTGAGCCATTTTTAGTTAGGGCAAAACTTATAAGTTTGCATCACGACATGCTACATGTGACATGTGATGTATCGAAGCAGTCTGGAAGAGCACAGTGTGGTGACAAACAGCATCATATGTTTTGATTAATAAATAAACTATATCAAAATGTAACAATTATTGCTTGGAGTGCAATGGATGTGAAAACTAGACTAATTGTAATAATTTCAATTACAAATTATGAAATTTTAATTATTCATACTATGATAAAATTAAAAATTAAACAAAAAAGCACAGTTATTCCAAAGTTATAAGTTTTCACATAACATGACTGCCTAATTTAATTTTTTTAATATTATATTTCGTCTAATTAAACCTAAAATAATTAATTTTTAAACCATGAAACAATTTTATCCTTAGCACTTGCTGTTTTATCCCATACTGATTTCCAAAAACCTGGTTTAACTGTTGTTATTTCTACAGGTTGTAAAACCTCATTTTTCACATTGGTTTTCATTTCTATATTTTCAAATGTCTGGCTTCTACTTTTTTGATGGTATTCATGACTCCATTTAGTTGTTACTTCTATATTTACTTGATCAATTTTTTCATTTATATTTTGTTGCTCAAAGTTACTCAATTCTTGGTTGTGTTTAAAGAAGTCATTATTATATTGTACATCATTATTTTGCATTTTGAGTATTGTTTCTATATTTTTTAAATTATCTTCATGTTCAATATTTTCAGGTATTTGTGCATCTTCATAGTTTTTAGTTTTATATTGATTAGAAGATTGTTGTTTTGGTTTGCTAGCTGAGGAAGTTATAAAATCTTGCTTTTCTAAACCTATAACATCCAAAATTATTGGATTCTCCTGCTTATTTTGAATGTTATTATCTGTGGAAACTTTAGGAATTGAATGAGAATGTTCATTTATTTTGTCTTTGTTTTCTAATGAAACTGTAGGTATATCTTCAGGTCCTATATCACCACGACCAATATCTGTGGGTCTAATGTTTTTATCCTCCATTTCGTTATTGGAAGTAGCTATACTATCGTCGTTTTTTTCTTTTTTTTCAGATTCTTTAATAATTTTGTCCACTGCATCCCATAGTGTTGATTCTTTACCATTTGTTGTTTGTTGCCAAAGAGATATGTCACTATTTGGAATCAATTTTTGAGAAGAATGAGGCCAAGAATCAAAGTTTTGCTGATGAAAAAGTTGTTCATTGCTAGCTTGTATGTTTTCTTGATTAAAATTATTTTGAGTTTGTTCATGAATGTTCATGCTGTTCCAGAAGTTAAGATATTCTTGTGTTGCAATATTTAGATTTTCATGTGCAAAATTTTCCAATTCATTTTGTTTTTGCTCTTCAAGTATCCCTGATTTTAGAGATTTTTTATTAAAATAATATATGTAAATCGTAATGCAATATACAACAATGTTTGTTCAATATGATTATCTTTCAAAATACACAAATTTAAATATTTAATATAATTCATTATTATGCAAAACATACATACAGTTATTTACATAGACAAGAAACATTTGGTAACATTTTGTTATTCAAGACTTACTATGCATAATCAAAAGAAAACACTGCCTTGTTAATGTATTAAATAATTATTTTATCATTATTAAAATTATTATGATTTATACTTAGTAAGATTTACTTTCAACATACATACATGGATATCATTTTTCATATATTTTTAATATTAATATCCAATATACTTAAAACTTACTTGTTTCTTGAGGTATAACTTCTACTTTATTCCAAGCATTTTGTGTCTGTTGATCATCGAATTTGCCTTGAGACTGTGGTATTAAGCTTTCAATTTTGTCCCATTGATTTTGCGTTTGTTGGCCTATACTTTCTAAATTGCTCCATTGATCTTGAGTTTGTTGGTTTTCCTTGTTCCATTGAGTTTGAGAGTGCTGACCCAAGTTTTCTAAATCGTCCCATGTGTTCTGAGTTTGCTGACCAGGTTGTTGTAAGCTTTCTACATTTTGTTGCCCAATATTTTCTATTTTTTCTTTTTGATTTTGTAATTGTTGACCAAAGTATCCAAGATTATCCCATGTACTTTGCGTTTGTTGACCCATATCTTCTGTTTGTTCATTATCACTTTGAGTTTGTTGGCCCAAATTTTCAAATTTATTCCAAGTATTTTGTATTTGTTGACCAAGATCTTCTAACTTTCCAGTTTGAATTTGCTGACCCATGTTATCTAAATGATCCCAAGTATTTTGTGTTTGTTGACCAAGATCTTCTAATTTTCCAGTTTGAATTTGTTGACCAAGGTCTTCTACTTTTCCAGTTTGAATTCGCTGACCACCTATGTTGTCTAAGTGATCCCAAGTATTTTGTGTTTGTTGACCTAGATCTTCTAATTTATCAGTTTGAATTTGTTGACCAAGATCTTCTAATTTTCCAGTTTGAATTTGCTGACCATCTATGTTGTCTAAGTGATCCCAAGTACTTTGTGTTTGTTGACCAAGATCTTCTAATTTTTCAGCTTGAATTTGCTGACCCATGTTATCTAAATGATCCCAAGTATTTTGTGTTTGTTGACCAAGATCTTCTAATTTTTCAGCTTGAATTTGCTGACCCATGTTATCTAAGTGATCCCAAGTATTTTGTGTTTGTTGACCAAGATCTTCTAATTTTCCAGTTTGAATTTGCTGACCATCTATGTTGTCTAAGTGATCCCAAGTACTTTGTGTTTGTTGACCAAGATCTTCTAATTTTTCAGCTTGAATTTGCTGACCATCTATGTTGTCTAAGTGATCCCAAGTACTTTGTGTTTGTTGACCAAGATCTTCTAATTTTTCAGCTTGAATTTGCTGACCCATGTTATCTAAGTGATCCCAAGTATTTTGTGTTTGTTGACCAAGATCTTCTAATTTTCCAGCTAGAATTTGCTGACCCATGTTATCTAAGTGATCCCAAGTATTTTGCGTTTGTTGACCAAGATCTTCTAATTTTTCAGCTTGAATTTGCTGATCCATGTTATCTAAGTGATCCAAAGTATTTTGTGTTTGTTGACCAAGATCTTCTAATTTTCCAACTTGAATTTGCTGACCCATGTTATCTAAGTGATCCCAAGTATTTTGCGTTTGTTGACCAAGGTCTTCTAATTTTCCATTATCATTTTGAGTTTGCTGTCTGAACTGATCTAAATGAGCAAAACTTTGCTGATCATCTAATTTTTCTTCTTGTTTTTGCAATTGTTGACTAAAGTTTTCCAGATTATTCCAAGTATTTTGGGTTTGTTGACTCAAATCTAGTTTTTCATCACCATTTTGAGTTTGTTGGCCCAAATTTTCAAAATGATCCCAAGTATTTTGTGTTTGTTGACCGAGATCTTCCAATCTTCCAATTTGACTTTGATGTTGATTGAATGATCCTAAATCACCCCAAGAATTTTGTGTTTCTTGACCTTCTATGCTTCCCCATGGGTTTTGAATTTGTTGACCTAATTCTTCATTGTTTTGTGTGTATTGACTTAAACTTGGTAAGTCTTGCAATCCAAGTCTTTCAGACTGCTGACCAAGATTATCCCATCCGTATATAGATTGTTGGTCTAATTTATCTTGACTATTTGGCACTGTCGGTAACAGGTATGAGTCTATGCTATAAGATCGCTTTTTACGTCCTTCAACACAATCATCTTGCGAATAGCTGTGTTGGTTATATTGAGATCCATATTGGCTATAAGAGTGCACACCTTGGTTTGAAGAATCAGCTATCAATCTCTGTGATTGAGTACCTAAATCACTTCCTGCTGGTTTAATGACGTAAGGATCACCACGTCTTTCCCATGACTTATGATATGAATACGATGATTGATAACTTTTTGGTTTAGAATTAAGGTCTAGTACATTTAGATTGCTATTCAAATTGGATAACGCACCTGTGCTTTGTGAGTCAACCTTGTATGCATTAGAAGCTGTACCGACTGTTGCTGAGTTTTGCATTTGAGATCTTAAGCGATTAGTTGTCGCTGACTTTACGTTACCGCTGTATCCACTTGAGTAAGCACTGTTTAAGATACTTGATTGTGCACTCTTTATGTTGCTAGTTAGAACATTTGCAGAATCTACTTCACTTTGATGTTGTTGTCCAGTTGCTTCAGATAATTGAGAGTCTTCGTAAAGTTCACTGTTATCTAGAAAAGGATTTTTGGTTGGTACAATTGGTATGGTACTTAAGTCACTTCCTACTGGTTTAATAACGTAAGGATCACCGCGTCTCTCCCATGCCTTATGATAAGAATACGACGATTGATAACTTTTTGGTTTTGAATTAAGATCTAGGACATTTAAATTGCTGTTCAATTTAGATGATGCTCCAGAGCTTTGTGTGTCAACATTGTAAACATTAGAAGCTGCATCGACAGCTGCTAAGTTTTGCGTCTGGGATAGATATCGTAAGCGATTTGATGCCACTGAATTTGTGTTAGAACTGTATCCACTTGAGTAAGCACTATTTAAATTACTTGATTGTGCTTTGTTTAAATTGCTATTTAGAATATTTATAGAATCTGCCTCACTTTGATATTGTCGGCCAGCTTCTGCATATGTTTGAGCGTCTTCGTGTAATTCACTATTTTCTGGAAATGGATTTTCGGTAGGAATAATTGTTACGGGTTTTGTGTCGTGCTTTTCCCATTCCTTATGATAACTATAAGAAGATTCGTAATGTTTCGGAGCACTCAATGGTTTAATTATATTAATTTTAGCATTGTTTAAAAACAATGCATCTGCATCCGTATTAACAACGCTTCGGTCTTGTGTTGAGTAGCTTTGAGAAGCATCGTACGTTTGGGCTGCCACGGGTATTGTAACTGTAGTTCCAGGTCTCACGTACACTCTCACTGGTGTAGCACTGACTAGTTTAGGCCTGACATTAGCATTATAATTGCTACCACTTTGTAAATGGGCGTTACTCTGATCATACTCGTTTATTGCTTGACTGCCCCCGTGTGTGTAGTATTTGTATTGACTTGCCCCTTGATTGCCATATTCATAACTGTTGGAACCACGATATTGACTCTCAGCTTGTTGATTATCGGCTTGTGCATATTGGGATGTATGTCTTCCAGATTGATATCCGTCACTAACTCCAGACGCCTGAAGTTGGCTGGTGCTATAACGTGCATTATTATTCGCTGAATATACACTTGCATGATTTCTTGTATTTTGTGCTAATAAAGACGATGCATATAAATCATCATACGATGTACCTTCTACGAAGTTTCTACCTTTGAGATTACTAAGATCGTAGTTTCCAGACCCGTAAATACCTCTAGAATTCCCAGATGTAAACACGCTGCCTGTTCTTGTATTTGCGGCTTCACCTAATTCGCCGTCAACTTGTCTTACGAGTGTACTCATCTGATGCTGCGCCAAAGAATCCATATTATGTGCTTTTTCATAGTTGCCTCCCATGTTACCTCTTTGAGCTCCATAGTAACCAGACTTTGATCCATCGTCAGAGGAACTTCTAGAAAATTGGAAATCTTCCTTTTCTTTATACGTTTCGGGTTTAGCGGAGGCCAAGGCCCAAAATGAGACTGTCAGAATTAACAGCCTCATTTTATAATAAAATGTCAAAACCTGAAATAAAATAAATAAAAACGTTAGTGAACCTTAAATTTTAATTTTATATCTTTTTAATCTATTTAACAGGGATTTTTAAAGATACAATATTTCTGTCTTATATTTTTAATTTTACCGTTACTAAAACAATTGTACCTAGTATTAGAGATATAATAAATATAGAATAACTTTTAATTAATAATTTTCTATAAAACAATAATTTATAGATTGTAAGCATATTTTAAAAAATATATTTATTAAAATATTATTCAAAATAATTAAGACGCAAAACCCAAAATTGTTATATAATTTTTAGTATTAGAGATATAATAAATATAAAATAACTTTTACTTTATAATTTTTTCTAAAACAATAATTTATAGATTGTATGCATATTTTAATAAATATATTTTTATACGAAAGTATAATCATTTAAAAATCTTACCGTATATAAATTAATTAACTAACACCTAAACCACTCTGTACTGAATATAATTATGAACTAGCACTGCCAGGGAACAAGGCGCCAATTTATTCACTTTTAATTTAGTATCTCCTTCGAGATAACCCTCTGCCCGGTCATGATTGAACTTTATTCTTAGAAGTGTGGACATGCAAAATACGTAAAGCTAATTAAATATATGTACGTCGAAGACTGGCTTTATAAGCCCTTGAGAAATATGACATTACGTTTGGTTTTTTAGACTGATTCATCGGCCCATCGATGCCTAGTATTTTCTTGACGTTACTTTTTATTCACTAACACAACAACAAATTATATAATCTAACAATCTAGACAAACCTACTGGTGAAAACCAAAAATAGATAGATTTTCAATAATTTTAATTAAGTTTGGAAATAATAATTTTGGTATCGATGACATAATTCGCTTGTCTTTTATGATTCATTATATTATGATCTCAGAATTCTTCCAATTTACTTACAAACTAATGCAGTGGGTGTGAATAATGAGCAATATTTCTATTAGGTGTGACATTATTTTTGTATAGAATACATAATAATTTAATTGTAGATTTGTAGCATTTTTCCATTTTTTTAGCCGTTGAACAAAAAGTCCCAGGGAAATTTTATCATCGAAATTATATTAGGTATTCATTTTGGCAAAACATCTAACGTGTAAAAGTTCATAACGAAATCGTGAGCGCAATAATAAGAATCTGAGGTCCAAGATCGCGTTAACTGTATTTTTTTCAATAATTTAGTAAGTAATTGTAATTTATGGCAATTTAAACGTTATTAAAGTTTGTCCAATTTTTTTTACAAATAGCCATGTGTATATAAATAAACATTCTGTGTATGTATAATTGTTCTAAACTTACATATCACTACATATTATAAAACACAGTTCTCTGTCTAGTCTCTCTGTCTGTTCGCGATAAACTCAAAAACTACTGCACCGATTTTCATGCTGTTTTCACGAATGGATAGAGTGGTTCTCGAGGAAGGTTTTAATATAATTTATTTGTTAAGTTTTTGTATACGTTGGCTAAAATAAACGATATTTGTTGGAGGTTTTGGAAAAAAATAAGCCGTCTGGCAGCTTTTAACGAAAATGCTGCCTAAACCCTTTGAGATATAACAAAATAATGTATGGTGGGATTGTGTATCTTATATATTGTTATTGTGTATTTTATATAGGTCTACAAAAAAGTCCGCGATGGCATATATCTATCTCTTAAGGATAACATACTATATCCATTTTAAATTAAAACGTTATTAGTTATACTCGCACTTCTTCGATTTTCTATAATAATTATTCATATAAATGCTTGGTATGTAAAACAATGTTGATCAGTATTTTTTATCTACACTATATTCCTGCATGTCTTAATGTGTAACTTTTACATTTATTTATCGGCATTATTTTTGTAAATATTTCTCACTATATACTAAATGAGGAAATTGCGAAATTTCGCGTAAATAAAATCAAACACTAAACGTAAGGATAATATTTTTGAAGTCCTGTTGTAAAGAGCATAGAATCCTCATTCGTTATATTAAGTTTTACTTGACGACCCTAAAATTCAAATTAATATTCGTGTACCTACGAAATCAATAAGCCTTTCGATCGCATTATATGAGAGCGCGTAGACTCTCAATCTATATCTTCCGACCTTAACTGATTGAAATAAAACATGGCTGTTTTTAACTCAATCAATTATATCTATGTAACCACAAGAGTAATTAAAATCTTGAATGATACGCGATTAAACAGAAACAGATAAAAAAAGCTCTAGGAACTAGATTTAGGTTTAATTACACAGAAAAATTATGTACAATCTGTGGAAAATTGTATGTGAATTATTATTTGTTTTTATATATTATAATTAGTAATTATTATTGTGTGGAAATATTGTATTAACATATATAAAAATAAACTTATGATTTTTTCTTACAAGAATTTATTCATTGCAATGAAATTTTGGTATATTGTTGTTTACATCTTCTAAGGTTTTTGATAATAGTTTTTAGCATTAATGTTCATTGTACGTACGATTGATAGCGACTTGTTTGGCGAAGGACATTGATTAGTCTAAATGCAATGGACCTACAATCAGTTAAGGGCGCGCCGAGACAATTACAAAATAAATGCGTTAGTTTCATCCCTTGCTGTATTGTTCTTTCTAAAACTATAATTATGCAATTAATATATAGGATATTTAAGGATTTATTCTATAAATCGTACATTTTAGAAACACGATAACTTGTAGTTTCTTCGATAGAAAAAAATCCAAAATGATCTCTAAAAAACAAAATAAACCCTTAGTGCGGCGTAAATAATTTAAGGAAGTTGGTTAGTTTTTTAATAATAACAAAACTATACACTTTTCTATAATGTATACACGTTACATTTTCATAATGTGTATTTGTTTTAATAATAATCCGTCCATCCTAGTCCCCCACGCATACCCGCTATCGTCCTACTAAAATAAAAAGCTCGGTGCCCCCTTTAAGGATGACACGCTAGCTTTATTATAGTACGTACTATGACCTATGTACTAGGTAAATTACATATAAATCCGTCAGCCCATTTCAATATGAAAGTGTGATAAACACACAGATAGTACAAACATTCGTAATTTCAATAGTAGTCCGTTATTCCCTTCGAATTTTAATTAATTTCTTAGAAATGTACCTGGAGGTGATAATACAGACTTAAAATGTGGATCAGCAATGTCCTTTATGATTTATACTTGTATGACATATATTTTTGTAATAAATCAAGTCCTTGCTGATAATCCTGTGACAACGTATGACATTGACCTCTCATATGATTTAGGTCGCATGCTTGAAGATATTTTAAAAACAACTAGGTCATACTTCTATATAAGTATTTATATAAAAATTAATTGCCAGATGTACGACGAAGCATCACTTGGTAACGGCTCGACCGATGGATTTCTTTTTATGTGCAAAAATCTCTGTGAAAAATTTCTTTTTGAAAATCCACCGGAAAAGTCGAAAATGTTGATGGTATTTTCAACCGACTTCAAAAAGGAGGAGGTTCTCAATTCGACTGTATTTTTGTTTTTTTGTTTGTTACCTCAGAACTTCGTCATTTATTAACCGATTTGGACAATTTTTGTTTTGTTTGAAAGGGTATACTTCCAGATTGGTCCCATTTAAATTAAAAAAAATACCACCCCTAAGGGTGGAAAAATAGCTAATGATGGATTTAACCTACTTCTAATTGTCATATTGACTTGAAACTTTGCAAGTGTTTCTATTTCCGTTGATAGTACAGTGGTTCGGTATTGTTGACCTGATCTGATGGTAAGGCCAGAAGGTGGATAGGTGGAACTCTTCAACGGCTAATAGTAGATACTTTGAGTTTGGGCTTATTTTGTTTGATTCGACAAGCCTAACACGTTAGAATTCTTACTTTGCTACTACTGTCTACACTAAAAAGGGAAAAATAAAAACTTTTTAACAAAAAAATAAAAACTGACTTCAAACAAAAGCACTAAAAAGAAAAAAATAACTGATTGGTAGTTTTCATTTACTATATGTACATACCTAATCAAATATTTTCGAAGTCGTATCAACTTATCTGAAATATACTCACTGGATATCATCTCTTTTTTCAATGAGCAAAAATTGTTTACAAATCTTATAAAATCTGTCACAAATATAACAATCAACGAGAACGAACACTGCTTATTGCAATAGATTATTATCTAATTAAACAAGAAATAGTAATTATTTATATTTCTCTTATATAGATGTGTTCTCGGTAATTTAAATTATCATTATTTTAAAACGTAACTTACATTTTATTACACTGATATGACATTCTTAAAACAACAAAAGTTTCGAGAAACTTCAGCATATAAACAAACTACGACGTATTATAGTGGTCTGGATAGATAGAAATTTTATGTTATTCCCAAACTTATTCTAATACAGTACGCCGTTCCTGCTTTTCGATTTTCTTATTTAAAGTAGATAAACAACTACAAAATAATTTGCTTAAAAAACTTCTATCCTTAGCTTTATTCCAATTTTTATGGGTATCTCCCGCACTTCTTCCTAGAATTTAAAAATATGTTGGCTTAAGTTAAATAAATTAATTTGTTTCGTAAACTTTATTTAAATATGTATTTTTCTTAAATATTAAATATTCGATTTTCTTCTTAGAAACCGCCAACTACAGTAAGAATCTTTGATCGTAACGATTACTACAGCGTCCATGGAGTCGACGCTACTACAGCATCTCGAGAGGTGTTCTCGTCGATTTCTAACATTAAGAGAATGGGTATTACACCCAACTGTCTCGATTATCTGGTGTTGTCTAAAGGAAATTTTGAAATACTCATAAGGAAGTTATTACTGGTAAGTTAGAAAAGAAGCTTTGATTATTCTTTAACATTCCTATTAATAGTATTACAAGTTAAAAAGCTATGTTTTTAATTCAGATACTTCTTTGAACTGTTCCCAAGTGTTGGACGATCAAATAAAGTCATTGTTCACAACTATATAGTTCTCCATTCTTTTCTTAAATTAGTGTACACATGTGAATGGAATGAAAAATGAAATCGATATTATATTACGAGCACATAAAAACACTCGAAATCAATTACTATTTAACATTAAGATTTTTAGATATTTTCTATTTGATTGAAGTATTAAAGGTACATTTAGAGTTAAACTCGTGTTAGAAAACATCAAGAAGGCGTCTTTGGCCTCTGTAGCATATTAATAATCTTAACTTGTAACTTTTCTCTGTTCACTACCAAGAGTTCATCTTACGATAACCGCACTACTGATAGGTTTATTTTGTATATGTATATATAACTTGAATATATATTTTCCGTAATACATATTCCAAAATCTTATTATTGATATACATATTATAGGAACACATTTTTGTTTTGTATTTCGTACATAATAATTACATTTAAAGCTGTAGTAGCCCAGCGGTAACGCATTCACTTAAAAATCAAGTGAAGCGATTTCAAATTCCGGGTCTCACTTCTGATATCCTCATCAATTCGTGCGAATCATTTTTTCATAATTACTATTTGCCTTACGGTGACGGAAAACATAGTAAAGAAACTTGTGTGTCTGAGAGAATCTAACAAGTTTTCTAAAGACGTGTGAAACATAGACTTGGCCAGCATTGTGGACTATAATCTCCCCTCGCATTAAGAGGCCTGTGTCCAGCAACGGAACGTTAAAAAGTGCTGAAAACATATGTACATAATACTTATCTCTTGCAGGTCAGACGATATAGGGTAGAAATATATGTTGCAGAAGGTTCCATAAAAGCATGTGATTGGACACTCAAGTATAAAGGGTCGCCAGGCTATTTGTCACAATTGGAAGAAATTTTAGGTGAAGGGTTAGGATCTTCCAAAGAAAATGCGCCATGTCTAATGACGGTTAATATTAAGACCGATGCAATTTCTAAAGTAAGTATTTCAATAACATACATATAATCCCATACGGTATTTATGTAGTCGAACATTTTTAATACCATATGAATAAAATAATTTGATTTTACACTTAACGTGTATATATGTGTGTGTGTGTGTGTGTGTGCGTGTGCGTGCGCGTGTGCGTGTGTGTGTGTGTGTGTGTGTGTTTCTACATACATTAAGTATATAATAAGTTTAAACTTAAACCACTCATTACACACTTAAAAGATAAATAAATTGTTATCTACTCACAAGAATAAGAAAGATATTAAAATGATGATATAATTTTAAATCAAAAAAATATCACAAACTTTTATTTAGTTCAATTTGCTTTATTCTTATATCCGTATTTTTGGTTCATAAATTCAATTAGCAACTGATCATTATAAATGATGAATCTACAATGTAAATACAATACAAATATTCCCTAGAGTACTCAACTTGTAATACCCAATCTAAAGTCAAAAGAAATTCATTTATTTCCAAAAAATCGTTCGATATCATTCTTAGTATTTATAAAAAAATATCGTAATAATAAAAAATAACATCTTAATAATAAAAAATAAGTAATAAATTCGGCAGTGTGGAGTACTGTCACGAGCAAAAACGTGATCATGGATAGTTCGGCAATAATAATATTATTATTATCTGATTAATTCGTATCTACGAGTATCTATTCTCACGTTTTCAGTAAAAATATGTTACATGGAAGCAATAACACAACTATTTGACTACACAGTCGAGGCAAAAATATAGAATGCTACATCGTCTTCTAAACATATCTAGGGACGAAAGATGAGGACGGCGCGCTAGTTAAGAATATTTACGTCATTATCTTAGCTTACTGTATTGAATAAAATATTAATCTTAATTCATACTTTTTAATTTAATAAAAAATATGTTGGGACATTAACACACGTCACTATCTAGTTCCATGGTAAGCTACGTGGCTTGTGTTATGGACACCAGATAGTTGATACACTACACATATATAACTTTTAAATACATACATATATAAATATAAACACCCATGACTGCGGTACAAAAATTTGTGCTCATCACACAAATGAATGTCGTATGAATGTAGGGTAACTACAAATTGAGCCAAACGTGTCGTCATCAAATTTATAACTTAAAAATATACAATAATTAGAACGAAACAGCGTAATAGGTGACCCTGGATTTCAATTATTTTTATTACTATGTTACAATCATTCTTTTTTAATAAAAATTTGTAACCTCACAGAAGATATCAGGACATATTGACAATAAAAATATAAAGGGTAAAACAAACGAACGAGACATGACGATGTAAACAATAAATTAAAATTACAAAAATAATACAAGCATAATCTGCGTAATAAACTCGATTGATCAGAACAGAGATGTTATTCTAAAAGTTTAGTAGTAGTAGTATTCTAAGTGAAAACAAACTACTCCTATGTACACAACTTTTATTGATAAAATAATTATTTTAGTTATATGATTAAGCTACTAATATAATTTACATTTTACATCGTACTTCTTAATATTATGATATCAGATGGGTCATTACCGTCGACTTGTACTCCGTACTCGTTGTAGTATGTTATTATCTAAACTTGACCATGAATGTTAAGCTTTTTAGTTCAACTTATCAATAGGATTTAGGAGAACTTGTATATAGCGAATGTAAATTATTTCTTAGAAACATTGCATCAACACAAATTTAAGTGTATGGTTTTGGAATATCAAACACGATATAATTCCAAACATTTTTTTCCTTAATTATAATAGACTCCGTTTCTATTTTACCTGTTCTTTGTGTAAAGTACATTTTACGGAGTAGAATATTGCTTATGTTTTTTTTTTTATTATACTGCACTTAAATATAATTTTAGTACATGCGTCATGTAGTCTAAGTGAATGAAGGCGTTTTGTATCAATAATCTAATATATAAAAATCTCGTGTCACGGTGTTTGTGGTCGCACTCCTCCGAAACGGTTCGACCGATTTTAATGATTTTTATGTATATTTGGTAGGTATGAGAATAGGTCGTAAAGTATTTTTCACCCTTCTACCCCCCACCCCCCATTTTCCCCTCATTCCCCAAGAAGTCAAAGAGTTTTTTTTGTAGATTGAACGGGACGTAGCCGCGGATTTCGCTAGTAAATAATATATAATTTAATAAAAAAAATATTTACAAAAATATAAAAGCAGACTACGTAAAAAGCAAACTAAAAAGATGAAAACAAGTTGACGAAGGAATACAGTATTATCCCCCCCAACGTGCGTTCACCTTGTCGTGGTGGGGGGGCTCAGTAGTGCCCGGCAATCCAACCGGGCGCGAAGCCAAGAAACGCACAGGGAGGTGGCCCACTTCGGTGGGCGGTGGGAGGTGGCCCTCTTCGGAGGGCGGTGTACCATGCGGGTTGCTCCTGGTACTTCTCTGATAGCAGAGTGGACCTTGGAGCAACCCCGTGGTTGTTGTGGTCTGCTTTGGCAGACCTGCCGTCGGGGCGTCGTAGTTGAATGCGTAAGCGATCCTGCGACGCCCCATTAAGACGGGGGAAGGTTTTGTTGGGTTTTAGTGGGTAGTACTGGCTTTGCCGGTGAGTCCCACACCTCGTGCGTAAATGCATTTCCCAACGTTAAAAAAAAAAAAAAAAAAGGAATACAGTATTATGCAGTCGTAGACATATATGTCGGAGAAACATTATTCTCCCCGACATCATCATTCGTGGTTGCGGGCTTAGTGGGCGTCATTGGGTAAAGTGCGAGCACAAAACACAATTAACAGTTCTGTAGTGTTTTATTTTAATAATATTCACTTAACACAGATATTACAATATTCACTTTCACACGCACTATTGAAATAAATTAAAACAAAGAATTAATAACTAAGACCGAGCAGCGGGTTCAGGGCACCGTCTTTACTTCAAACAATGAATACGATCCAACTCGACCAGTTACTATCACTCGAATGTCCAAAAAACACAATCAGTCTCGCTAAAGTAAACGATGGCGCCTCGACCCCGCTCGAGGCACGTGCTCTGCTCCGATTGGTCGTTACGTGACTTAACATATTCATAGCTTTTATTAGATTGCCGAAGTTTTTAAATTGTAGAAAAATGTAAGAAATCAAATAAAACAAATTAATAATTTTAAAATTAATTAAAATGTAAACAAATAATATTGTGCGTTATTCATCATGCAAACAACAATCAATCCGACTCCTAGCTTCCTCCGACACGGCCGTCCTGACGTATTACACGCCCTCGTGTGATGTTGATGGCCGCGCATCATCGTTATCTGCAGAAAAGAAAAAAGACATTTTGTATAGTTCGGCCACTCCTGACCAAGGAGATCGTGTACATCATTACATTTTATCCTCTGCGCAACAACTTCATTTAAAGCCTTTCATATTCGTATCCGAATCCTAACAGACTCCACACTACATCGTAAATTAAGTCAGTAGTATCGAAACAGCCTCCTCGCCGTTTATCGCGTTACACATTTTGGATTACTGACAATATCTAAATGGCCACCTCGCCTCTTATTCTACTAATTTCATTTTTCAATGGCCACCTCGCCTTTCAATGGCCACCTCGCCTTTCAATGGCCACCTCGCCTTTCAATGGCCACCTCGCCTTTCAATGGCCACCTCGCCTTTCAATGGCCACCTCGCCTTTCAATGGCCACCTCGCCTTTCAATAGCCACCTCACCATTCAATGGCCACCTCGCCATTCAGTGGCCACCTCGCCTCTCATAAAGCTTAACTAAACCTTAACCACCACGCAGTTAGGATATCTTATAAAGAAAATCTATTCGCAATATACAAACACACTCTAATAACTAATTATTTTAAACAAAAGAAATTTATTACGAAGTTCTTACCATCATTGTTATCCGACATACACGGATCCAGCCCAGTTGGGACCTAGTCAACGCGGTTATTTTACAAAGGTTAGGCCTGATTTCGCCCTCTGATATTTCATACCCCAAAAACTGGACCTGCTTCTTTAGAAAGACTCATTTTTTTTTGAACTCATATTGAACGAAAATCCAGCATCGCTAAGAGTTTTTAATACTACACGTAACCGTTCCAACCCTTGCTCTACGTTATTCGCTGGTATAACTAGATCGTCCATATAAACGATAGCATAAGAATGCGCTAGGTCACCTAGAGCCGCGTTAATAGCTCTCTGATACACAGAGGGAGCATTTCGTAGGCCAAAAGGCATGGCAGTAAACTCATAATGAGCGTCCGGGGTAATAAATGCGGTTTTCTTGATCCAATTCAACTCTACATTTATAGGAACTTGATAAAATCCACTAGCCATGTCAAGACACGTATAAAACCGCGCGCCTGATAACCTTTGAACTTGATCGCCAATTAGAGGTAAGGGGTACCGGTCGGGAACTGTATTGGAGTTTAATTCTCGGTAATCTACGCATATTCGGTCTATGCCATCACGCTTTTTTACTAAGAGTATTGGGCTAGAGAAGAGCGATTTGCTTGGTCTAATAACTCCAGCAGATAATAACTCACTACACTTATTACGTACTATCACTCGCTCTTCAGGGCTCAAGTGATAAGGCCGCCGTTGCACGATTTTGCTAGGATCTACTAAATTAATTTCTAATTCGCCTGTCTTTACTAGTAGGCGTGCCTTTAACAAATGAGTTTTTAAAGCAGCTAAGAAGTTCTATTAATTGTGGTTTAAAGTTATCGGGTATATCGATATCCACGTCATGAAAGTCAGCCACCGCGCTACCTACGTTGCAAATATTAACTAGAGAGGGCTTCTCAACTATAATAAGCTTATCACTTGATATGTGTACTGACAACCCTAAGGCCAACAAATCACGTCCAATCAAAATATTGTTATTTAGGTAATCATCGGGTATAATGTGAAATAATATTTGTACGTCATGACCACTAAGAGAGACCCCAGATAAAATTTGCGAGTCACATAGTACACTAGATTTTCCTACACCAGTCAAAGTAACTATGGCACGCTGCAATGAACCAACAAGCTTACGAGAGACGCTCTCTTTAATTAAGGAACAATCAGCACCGGAATCAAAACAAAATGAGAACTGCTCACCAAATTGTGTAATTATCCCGGTGACAGGTTTCATACCACACACGTCCACTCGTTTCACAACGCTGGGTGCGGCGGCAGGCTGTGCGCTGCTGCTCGCAACTGGCCACGTTTTTTGAGCACCGCGATGCCACATGGCCCTCAACACCACACTTGTAGCAAGTCACAGGGGCCCGCGTAGTAACAGCCGGCGCTCAGTGGTCGGAGTTGTTTGCTGCTTGTCATGCAATCGACTGAAACATTCAAAAGACTTATGACCAAGCTTTCCACAAGCGTAACATTTTGTTGAAACTGAACTTAACCTAGGACGCTTATTATCTGGTATAGTGCTTGCAACGGTCTTTGTTATCTCTTGGTAGCTCCGCTTGCGATAAGAAAAAGCCATTAGTTCACGTTGCATTTTACAGTGGGTAGTTATTTCTTCAAAAAAAATATTGCGTTGTAAGCTTGGCTCAATTTGCCCCATGTGTGCAAGTATTAAGGATACCACCATTTCTTCCTTGCCCAAATTACTCCATCGTGACATGAGTAAAGTAAATAAACGGCTTGTATATGCAGCAAGACATTCACCTTCTTGCGGTTTGCCAGTAAGCATCTTTAATATCGTTGCAGCACATGTTTCTAACGTATCGAAACGAGAAAGAAAAAAAATCCGAAAATTCTAACCATTTCATATTAGGAAAAGCTATTAGAGAAAACCATGTTGCGGCCGAACCTCTCATGGCCTTACTAAGTATAAGAACTAATTTACTTCCCTGTATACCACTATCCGATAAACAGATGTCCGCCGTGGCAAGCTAGGCCCGGGCGTCGGTGCCTGCATCCTCCGGTTGAAATTTAGGCAGCGTGATGCTCTTATCCTCGATATTCGGTGGGTTGATTAGCGCCTCCACGAGTAGCTTCATACTGGTTTGTTGCGCTTCAAATAACGCACGCCATCCGTCATATGTTTTCGCTGTCCATTCGCTCACGTTTTGTGCCTGCACCGATCCCACTTCTGATGTCGGAGAAACATTATTCTCCCCGACATCATCATTCGTGGTTGCGGGCTTAGTGGGCGTCATTGGGTAAAGTGCGAGCACAAAACACAATTAACAGTTCTGTAGTGTTTTATTTTAATAATATTCACTTAACACAGATATTACAATATTCACTTTCACACGCACTATTGAAATAAATTAAAACAAAGAATTAATAACTAAGACCGAGCAGCGGGTTCAGGGCACCGTCTTTACTTCAAACAATGAATACGATCCAACTCGACCAGTTACTATCACTCGAATGTCCAAAAAACACAATCAGTCTCGCTAAAGTAAACGATGGCGCCTCGACCCCGCTCGAGGCACGTGCTCTGCTCCGATTGGTCGTTACGTGACTTAACATATTCATAGCTTTTATTAGATTGCCGAAGTTTTTAAATTGTAGAAAAATGTAAGAAATCAAATAAAACAAATTAATAATTTTAAAATTAATTAAAATGTAAACAAATAATATTGTGCGTTATTCATCATGCAAACAACAATCAATCCGACTCCTAGCTTCCTCCGACATATATATAATATGTATAAGTTTCATAATAGCCGCGTGTGTGTATGTTTCCGACTGCATAATACTATACACCTTCGTCAACTTGTTTTCTTCTTTTTACGTCGCTTTTTACGCTGTCGGGTCTTTTTATTTTTGTTTTTTTTTTAATTTAACTTTCTTATGTTAGTATTTTTAAATTTTATTATCATAGCAACATTATTTTTAATGATATTTATCGTCGTCGTCGTCGTCATCAATGATATTTATACATACTAATATTAATAATAAATTAATAATATTTTATTATTTCCAGGGTCGATTAGTGGGTGTTGCGTGTATTTCGCCGGCTGATTATCTTCTATCGGTGTCGGAGTTTACAGATGACGATTTGTTCACGGAACTAGAAACTATTGCAGTACAAATGGCGCCTTCAGAGTGTGTTATTATGCAAAGCGATAATGAGGATGTGAGTTGTGGGATTTTTTGTTTTCAGATTCAATTTTCATATTATAATTTTATATGAATATGTACATATTCATTATACATATTATATTAAAGGTGCAGAGATTTTTTTGCACCGAAAAACTAAAATTATATATGTGAAAGTGTATTTATTTGTTAGTCCTTCTTATCTTCTGAACCCGAGCGAAACAAGGATATATACACAGTATACTATATACGAACCCATTTATTATGAAGGCCTTTAGATGTTCACTCAATCACGCATAAACTTGTGAACAAATTAATCAAACTAGAAAATAATAATATACATATCCCGGATTGTTCAAAATACTCTTTATATCGGTAATGAGAGATAATCGTTTACCTTAAAGCTTAAACGATATTTTATCATTTTATTCTTTCTCAATGAAATTTCTAATTAAAGAAAATATTTTTTAATGGGCGCATGTAAAAGCTAGCAATTAAAAAATATGTCTTTGTTTTTTTATGTTTAAATACATCGTTCTAAATATTCATTTACATATTCAAAGTTTTGTAAAAGATTCGAGGTCAAATTTTGTACATTTAAAAATATAAAGTTTTTATGTATACACATTGAGTTTTGTTATTGTTTAGATTATTTACATTATCTCAACGCTTTTTCTATAGTCCAAACAAAATTCACATTGCCTCCAATTTTCCCAAACCAGTTAAGATGATATTGTATAACATGCGCTGGAAGAAATATAGATAGAAGATATATGTATAAAAAGTTACACATAATATACACATTATATACTTCGATCAAAAACAAAATTAGGGATTGTGGTAAACAATAAAAATGTGTCTTTACGTTTGTTCTCCTTTTAAACAGGAACAAATTTCTTATTTTTATTCCGAGAAATAAGTAACAGTAAACATTTGAAATGAAAATTGAAATTAGTTAAGTAATCAGGTAAATAAAAACTTAAATCATATTTTCTTTGTTACAAGTACAAATCGTTAAAAAAAGTGATGGATAGAGCCAACATCACGTTAACTAAAGTGAAAAAGACCGAGTTCTCGACGGAAGGTCTTATACAGGACTTGAACCGGTTACTAAAGTTTAAGGAAAACCAACAGCAAGATGCCAATGCGTTCCCAGAGACGAACAAAACCGTAGCCATGACGAGCTTAGCCGCCGCCATAAAATATACATCTCTGTTAAATGATAGCACTAACTTTGGCAGGTAAGATAATAGAAAATGCATATTATATTAGCTATTCGTTTGCGTTTGTTCATTAAATATCATGGAGTGCGTCGTGTTGAATAGGAAGCTCAAGCTAAGAATTTGAATGAACTTAATAGGGAATATACGTGTGATTTTAATCAAGGATAAAATATTTTTTTATAATATTTATTGCTTCTGAATTAAGCCTATATCAATATATTGTTATGTCATTTCATTTTGATTAAGAAAATAATTATTGAAAAGTACAAAAATAGGCTGGGAAATTCAAAGTAGTTGAACCGCAACGCAAAATTGGTCAGACGGAATGTGACATCAAAGTCTATAATGACAGAGTGCTGTTATTTGGTGTTTGCGATTGTTACTAACAATCTAGCTATGTTCAGTGTTCACTCGTTTTTTGCAATAGGCTATGACGTCATGCCGAGCGTTCAAAGTGTCGGTATCTGTACGATATTGTTATTTTTTTTATACTAAACTTTAGTTTTTGGAGCTGGATATTTTTTTCAATTTTATAACGATGTAAGCTATTGATAAAAACACGCATATTCCCTATTGAATTTACAAGATTTTAGATTATTGATTATTCATTTGAACACTATCCATATCAATATTATAAATGTGAAAGTTTGTGAGTATGGATGTTTGTTACTCTTTCACGCCAGAACGGCTAAACGGATCAGGATGAAATTTGGCACAGAGAAAGATTATAGTCTGGAATAACACATAGGTTACTTTTTATCCCGGAAAATATGTACGGTTCCCGTGGGATAGGTTTATTTTCGTTTTCCTAGAGGTGAACCCGAGCGAAGCGAGGGTGAGTTGCTAGTTGTCTAATAATTTCATATAAATAAGCGTATAAATGTCTTATGGACTTTTTTAGGATTGCGTTAAAAAAGCTAAAATTAAGACAAAACAATGTTTTTGCCATGCAATTCGAATTATTCTACAGGGTTACTGTACTTCAAAAAGGCTAATATTACTCGAAGTTAGTATTATTTTGATGATAAAAAAATCCTTATTTCGTCATCATTTTAAATAATAACATGCTAACATTTTCCTTATATGATTTGTCCAAGTGATCACTCTCTGCAAGGACGACCTACATTCTATAAATAAATTTTATCGTTCTTTATGGCATTTAATGACGTTATCAAATATTTATTATGTACAGACTACAGACATAGGTGTGATGAAGTTGTAAATAGGTCGAAGAAAACATAGAAAAATTGAATGCAAAGTTTCAACAATACATCTATCAACCGAATTAATCGCACAAAGTATCTAACCTTTCTTCACTATGTAATTTTTTTAATAAATGATTTCAATGTAACTTTTTTAGTGTAGTTTGAACAAAAAAAATAGTTAAGTTTTGAATGCGTCGGTTGCCCTACTCGCCGTTTACATATTTTTAAAAGATAAGAAAGAAAACTTAGTTCTAATAAATGTCAATGGATAATGAAATAATATACATATAGATTTGTAATTAATATTTATGTAACATTTATTCTCACTTCTCAGGACAATTATATGGGAATAGAACTAAAATTTGTTTTATTTTATCGCATTTTTTAGATTTCGTCTAGCTACAATTCAAGCGGATTGCTTCCTCCATTTAGATGCTGCTGCGTTGACGGCGCTTAATGTGTTTCCAGACTTAGAAGATATGAGCCATTCTCCTTCTAGAAGTTTGTTTGGTTTGTTGGACAGATGCAGGACCCAACATGGAAAGAGGTATAAGTATATAATAATTATATCTATTTTATAAATTTTCGTGTTCCATAATTGTATAATAATTACACTAAGGGACTTAAACGCGTGAATTGAAAAGCTCAAACGGACAGACTGCCCGTGGCCACGACTGGTACAACAAAGTCGAAACGTTGGGAATAAGGTATATGACCACTAACACATTCACGCGTTAAGTCCCGTAGTGTAATGATTATATAATTATATCTATGTGAATAACGGAAATAGCACTATTATAACGTTTCAACTTCTAAACCATTTGCTATGAGAATTAGTACTTTTGTTATGACAAACCTTGCATTTGACGGCGTTTCCTTTAGGATTTTTATACTGAGCAAATCTATTTATAGAAAAATTGATGTATGTATATATTTTCCTTATGGACTCCCAAAACTGCTGGAGCGATTTTGCTGAAATTTTCAGGTAATCTTCAAATTAGCCCAGTTAGTGATTCTGTGAAGTTTGTTCGTGGAGTGAAGCCGCAAGTACTAGTACTTTATAAATATGTATCTTTCGAGGACACGTTTGGCTCAGTTTGTAGTGACCCTACATGCTATGCCAGCGGTCGCGGTTCGAGTCCCGCTTGGGGCATTAATTTGTGTGATGAGCACGAATATTTGTACTCCAGTCATGGTTGTTTATATATTTTATAATATGTATGTATTTAAAGTTATATATGTATAGTGCCTCAACTATCTGGTATCCATAACATAAGCCTCGTAGCTTACCATGGAACTAGATGGTGCTGTGTGTTATTGTCCCAACATATATATTTATTTATTTATATACCAACTTAATATGATTTCAGACTGCTAGCCCAATGGCTTCGTCAACCATTAAGAGATATAAATCTAATAAATGAAAGGTTAGATATAGTGGAACTTTTAATGGAGAATTCACAACTACGTTTGCAATTACACGAAGAACATTTGAAAAGGATTCCTGATTTGCAAGCTTTGGCTAGACGTCTTACACGGAAGAAGGCCAATTTGCAAGATTGTTATCGGATCTATCAGGTATGTTCTGTTCGGTGATGTTATTCATATCTTATTTATATAATATCACGTTGGGCTAGTAGTTAGCATATAAGTTTCTAGGTTTGAGACCCAGGTCGAGCTAAGTGAAGTTACCGGATTTTTTTGTCCAAAAATTTCAGATATAGCCCAGAGTGCACACGCTTTGTGCACTTTAATACCTCCTGAAACGCTTAGTCTCATTTAGATTGGAAAAGATGATATTATTATCACTAGAGTCTCACTCGCACCTTCCACAGGTAATATACTTACACTTCACATGGATTTTTTTACCAGTTTCTTTGTTTGTGGTTGATTAAAAAAAACGTGAGTTGTTATACTTTTTTGGCGTAACAGAACAAAAATAACTAAAGATTTCATCCCGTATGTTGTGCCATACGGGATGAAATGAGTTGTGACTCTCTGTTTGTAACTACACAACTGAGGAATGCAGCTAACTTGATCATGTCGCTTTTAGCTAATTTCATCATGTCGCTTTTTGGCGTCGGTGTGCGCGTGCATCGTAAAAGTTTTAATCTCATATTTTTTTTCCAAACGTACCAAAAAAAGTATAACTTCAAAAAGCCATCAAACGCTTTCTAAGATAGAGATAGCGCCATGTAGTGATCACCTAGTGTTATAAATACAGAACGTTTGTGACTGAGAGAGTATGACGACGTCTTCAACGGATTTGAGTGCAATTTGAGAAGCGTAGAGATAGTTTATATTCTTTTTTAATTTATTACACATAGGATATTTTTATCGATATAACTATCTCGGTGTCACTTATAATATTGAACTGCCTCGGTGGTCTAGTGGCTGGCACGTACGGCTGCACATCCGTAGGTCCTGGGTTGGAGTCGCGGGTCGGGCCAAGTTTAATTAATAATTAGTTTTGCCTCTTTCTGTCTCTCTAAATCTAAATCTCAGTAACAGCCCGTAGTTGGGATGTTGGCGGTTTTTAACCCCTGTACTGAGGCAGAGCATATAAAGTCGTTGGTCCTGAGCGTGATCTTTCACCGTAAGTGTGGAATTATTGTCCCATCGATAATTGAAAGTAATAGAGAGTGCACGTGTGTCTGTACATACACGCGCTGCACTATAATATCTCCTGCGGAGATGGCTAATCTCAGAGAGATTGGCCGCCGTATCGAAAAGTCAGTGGCAGCCCAGTGGTAACGCGCTCGCTTTGGAAACCGAGTGAAGCGTGTTGAAATCCCCGGTCTCGCACCTCTTATATTTTCATGTGCGAATCATTTCCAACATTATTACCACTTGTCTTAACGGTGAAGGAAAACATCGTGAGGAAACCTGCATGTCTGAGAGAACCTAGCAAGTTTTCGAAAGACATGTGAAGTCCGCCAACCTGCACTCGGCCAGCGTGGTAGACTATGGCCTGATCCCCCTCGTATTGAAGGGAAGCCCGTGCCCAGTAGTGGGACGTTAAAGGGGGCTAAATACAAGTCGAAAACGGTCGGAGAGGACATCGTAATATTAAAACATTCATTTGTCTCATTCCAGGCTATCGATCGATTGCCACATCTACTGCAGTGTTTGGGGGAAGCAAACAATTCTACAGTGCACTCGTCCCTGACTGAACCCATATCGGAACTGAATAACGACCTTGAAAAATTCCAGCAAATGATTGAAGCAACAGTTGATATGGATGCCATTGATAGAGGTATGGTTTAGTGTTCTATAGAATTGCGCTTTAAACTAATAAGGATAATACTCACCCAAAAATATTTCCTATATAAACCTTTTTTTATCTTTAGTGGTGTGAATAAAAAATATATCTTTTATTAGCCGTTATCTATGTTATATGTACTCTGGCTCAGTGTGAACCATGTGCCACCAAATAAGAACAAACTAAACCAAACAGGAACAAAGAATAAAAACTTAAAAATATGTAGAAACTGACTTCCAGACTAGACAATAGGTTTATTCACACAAACAAAAATAGCCCGAATTAGCGTTGTCCAGTTTCTTTGTATGGGATGGGGCATCTGTACTAGTATAGTATTATTTGATCTATGACATGAACATGTATGTGGTACATATATTCCATGTACTATATATGGCCACAGTAGGCTAATTAATAAAAATTAAGTTAAAATACTATATGCTTACTTTGTAATTAAGTAAGAAAATATTTTATTAAATTTTAAAATTAAAAGATTTTAATATTATTTCGTATTTTATTTTTATTTTTTTAGGGGATTTTTTAGTCAAGCCATCATTTGATGAACAATTACAAAGTTTATCAGAAGAATTGGACAAGTTACAAAATGCAGCAGACAAGGAACTCAACAAAGCAGCTAGGGACTTAGGCATGGACGCTGGGAAAACTATTAAATTAGAAAACAACCCACAAAATGGATTTTGTTTCAGGTTGGTATTTAATTATGTAAGTTTTGAATGAAGGCTTTGTTATACTTTGTAACATAAACGAAACATGTAATTCTTTATAATTTTGATCCTTTGTAAAAACTGTAATAGATGTCGTAAACGTGAGACGTGTGTAATTGTAATATAAACCTGGAAGTAAAACAAAAAATACGTCGTGGTTGAGTACGTAAGTACGAGAAATCCCATAAAGACGGGAGAGGTTCCGTTGGGTTTTAATGAGTAGTACTAGCTTTTCTTACTGGTGAGTCTCACATAACCAGTATGTATGCTGATGGTATGTGTAAATGCATTCTCCAACGTTAAAAAAGACGTCTTATAACCTTGTCACTCCCGTGACCATGATTGCTGTAAAGCATTCGAAAGGCCGAGAACCAAAAATCAACATAAATCCGCGAAATAATCCGAAAAGATAGTTTTATTTAAAATGTCAAATATTCGCGTAAATCTAAGAAAGTATTATTAAAAAAGGGTGCTTAAGCTACTAATGAATCTTCTGTTTTATTAATAAACTATCGTTGCCAGTGGATTTGTTATTGCTCTTACCATAAAGCTCGTAGGATAATGTTAAATGGCTATCTAGGAAGACTTTTCCTAAATAAGCTATAAAAGGCATACAGGGTTTAGAGAAAAAAAAAACAAATAAAAAACAACTCTTCAAATTTTTATAGATTGGTATAGAAAATAAACACATTTTACATTATAAGACTGGACTTTACTAATCTAATTGTTTCTTCAAAAAAGAGTATTTCAAATAATATTTAAATATTTATAGAGTAACTTTAAAAGAAGAGCAAAATCTACGTGGAAACAAAAAATACAAAATAATCGATGCTGTTAGGGCTGGAGTCAGATTTAAAACGAGCGCATTAGAAACTATCACAGAAGATTACACTCAAGCTAAAGCTGCGTATGAAAAAGAACAAGATAAAGTGGTTTCTGAGATCATTTGTATTGCTGGTAAGGTTAAAAATGAACAAATTTTTTCTCTTTAATTTACTCACATACAAATTTCATGTATTTAACGCTATGGTATGAATTGTATAGTAATAATATTATAATTGACATGCTTAGCCACGCCTATTACGACGGGTTTTGTGGGTATAACTTGCAATTCCATTATAATTCAGCTAAGTATATTATAGAAGCAGTGGTAGCCCAGTGGTAACGCGCTTAGGAAACCAAGTGACTTCACTTGGTTTCCTAAGCAAATGGTTTTCAAATCCCGGGTCTCGCACCTCTGACATTTTAATGTGCGATAATTTTCAATATAATTACTACTTGTCTTACGGTGAAGGACAACATCTTGAGGAAACCTGCATGTCTAAAAGATAACAAGAAAGAAAGACATGTGAAGTCCGCCAACCCTTCAGCACTTGGCCATCCTCGTATTGAAGGGAAGCCCGTGACCAGCAGTGGGACGTTAAAAAGGACTGTATTTAATTAAGTATTTGATAATCAGACAGACATAAAATCTGCTTTGTAATAGTTAGATTATTATATATACCATATAAATTATAAACGTCTTTTCAACTACTTTTCATTAATATATTTCATGTTTGATACCCCAAATGTAAATCCTTCTTTCAAAAACCTTACTATGTTTGCTAAACTTTTAACAGATCTAATCATAACCTGTAAACTTTACAATATAAACCTATACTAATAGAAATATTATAATAAGAAAATAATTGTAATAAGAGGATAATTATAATAAGAGGAAAGATTTTTTTGTTTCTTTGTTTGTTTGTACCGAATAAGCTTCGAAACTACTTCACCGATTTTTATGTGGTAAGAATATAGTTCGATACTGTGCGAAGTACATAGGATATTTTTTTGTCCCGGAAATCATCCCTTAAGGGGGTGAAAATGGTGATGATAGTTTGTATTGGGAACCAACCTATAATAATATTTATATTTAAAGAAATATATATAACACAAACATATATACATATGTTTAATTTCATTGCAGCCGGTTATTCAGAATGTTTAACATGTCTGTCTCACATACTCTCTCGCCTGGACGTGCTAGTGTCGTTTGCGATAGCAGCCGCCACCGCGCCCTATCCATACTGCCGGCCGGAGATCACTGAGAGCTTGGACGAGTTTATACTGAAGGATGTGAGACACCCGTGCTTGGAAATACAGGAGGGTGTTTCTTATATACCCAATGATGTGGTGTTTAAACGAGGTATGTATTAAATAAGGAATAAGCGCGTGATTTAAATAAAAGTGATTTTTTTTTTTATATATAATCTTTATTGCTTCTGAATTGAGCCTTTAAGAATATATTTAATGTAATTTCTAAAATGCAATAATAGGTGGGAAATTCAAAGTGAGTTGAAACGCAACGCCATTGGTCAGACCGAATGTGACGTCAATGTCTATAATAACCTGGGAGCGCTGTTGTTTGGTGTTTGCGATTGCCCAGGTTTCGATTCACCAGAATGCGGTGACACGTCACATATCACACGTAAACGGTGACGCGAACACATAAGTTTTGCCACTACCAAAAATCGCTCAACGCGTCTAAAGAAATTTTCATTTCATAAGTAGAGTGTGAGTCTATAAAGCGAAACTGAAAAATTATAATCTACTTTACTTCTAACTCTACTACTAACTTTTCTACTACTAACTTTGTCGTTTTTTTCTACGCTAATATTTTCTCTCCCTTCTCTATCGCGCGGATAAGAATTCTTTTTTGTCAATACACAAAGTCTTTCTTTTACTCGTCATTTTTACAGATCAAAAGTGTGAATGCAACTAAGAATAGTACAACAAAAAGGACGATAATAAGCAATTACAACAAACAATGAACACATTTCTGTGAATTGTGCATACAAAATATTTAGGATTATATCGGTATTGTGTTTGAAGGTCATTGAAATTAATGTTTATTGGGATTTTAAATAAAACTATCTTTTCGGATTTTTTCGCGAATTTATTTTGAGTTTTGGTTCCCGACGTTTCGAATGCTTTACAGCAATCATGGTCACGGGAGAGACTGAGGTGTTAGATGTCTCAAAGGTATTATATAGTTGTTACAGACAGCCATTCACTATATAGTAGTTTACACTGCATATCAGTTTATGGGTGTTTTCAACTCCCTAATTCCAGGATCATGCATAATGCACATAGTGACTGGCGCGAACATGGGCGGCAAGTCGACGTGGATGCGGTCGGCGGGCGCGGCGGCGCTGCTGGCGCACGCGGGCGCGCCCGTGGCGGCGGCGCGCGCGCGCCTGCCGCGCCTGCGGGCGCTGTGCGCGCGCGTGGGCGCCGCCGACTGCGAGGGCAAGGGGCTGAGCACCTTCATGGTGGAGATGATCGAGTCTGCGAGTATACTGAGGGTTGGTACTCTTCTCGCTGCCCATTTCTCAAGTTACTAGGGGTCGCGCGCACTAAGTCTTCCTTTTCCCCTCCCCTTCTCTGTCACTGATGCTGCTTTTATGCTTCCTCTGTACTCATTCCTTATTTTATCCTTCCTCGTCACTCCACACATCCATCTTAACAATCATCTCTGCAGCATGCAATCTTATTTCATCAGTCTTCTTTGTAGTGCTGTATTATATATTGGGGAATTGAGTACTTGTGTCTTTGTATACTTGTATGCGGCAGACTGCAAGGGAGATGTATATAGGATATCTATATAGTCAGCGAGTAACAGAGGGTTAGTATTGTCACATGTATTACGAAAGGAGTATGTGTACTTCGCAGTAGTGTAGACGCAGCAGTTTATTTGGGCAACTGGCATAAACCTGTGGGTTGGACTTTACACGTCATTATGTATGTGCTAATATTATAATTGCAAAAGTTTAGTATAAAAATATGTATTAAAGAAATTGTCAAAAGCATTAATTAAGTAATTAGTTAAGTACAAAAATGGATTGACATAGTTTTTGCACAGATCACTTTTTGTCTAACTTGTGAGGAATTATTTTATTAAAAGACACGCACGTCATAAGAACAGAGTAAGTGAACTGAGAATGAGTCGCTAACAATAATATACTGTAATTATTTACATTATTTGCAGACGGCAACGCCTGATTCTCTCGTACTAGTGGATGAACTCGGCAGAGGGACTTCGACTTACGAAGGCTGTGGAATTGCGTGGGCTATTGCAGAGTAAGTTTTATATTATTTAAGTACTAACGAATTAATCTCGTTTCGCTCGAGTCCGTTTTAATATTTTTGAGTGGAATCCTAATTCCTAATTCTTTTTCTAAAATAAAACTAGTCTAAATTACTCCTTATAACGTCAGCTATCTGACTATCCCAGTGAAAATCCCGTCAAAATCAGTCCAGCCGTTTTGGAGATTAGCCGGAACAAACAGAAACCGGACAGACAGAAAGACAAAATAAAAAAAACTTCAATTTTACTTACAACTTATTCAATTTTATTTTATTTATCTGTATATACATACTACATAATGTACATACCCAGTAATGATGATGAGTAGGTAACTTTTTTTTGTTTTCATGAATATGTCTCTGTTAAGAAAGCTCTGTTAAGTTTATTATTTTATGTTCATTATTAATTTATTCTACTTTATGAAATAAAAAGTAATCCTTGAAATATCTTGAATTTTTGTTTCATTTTAAACATATAACCGTAAGTGAAAACTTTTTAATTTATATATATGTATATATATATTTTTATTTACACAGAAAATTAGCAACGGAAATCCAATGTTTCTGCCTATTCGCGACGCACTACCACGAACTGACGCAACTGCCGAGTCTGCACCCCAACGTGATAGTGAACTCTCACGCCGAGGCCTCCGTACTGAACGGTCAACTGCTACTGCTGCACAAGATACTACCAGGCCCGGCGACACATTCACTGGGATTACATGTTGCTAAACTGGCTGGCTTACCCGATTCTGTTATTAAGGTGATTTATATAATACTTATATGATTACACATATGCGTGTGTGTTTATGCGTGCGTGCGTATGTGTGAGTTTTTGTGTTTGTAAATTAATAATTAATTATAATTAACGACACGCTTGGCTCAGTTTGTAGACGCTACTAGCTGTGCCAGCGGTCGCGGTTCGAGTCCCGCTGGGAGCATTCATTTGTGTGATGAGCACGTATGCTTGTACTCTAGTCGTAGGTGTTTATTATTATAATATGTATGTATCAACTATCTGGTATCCGTAACACAAGCCTCGTAGCTTATCATGGAACTAGATGGTGCTGTGTGTAATATCTCAAAAAAAATTGACCGTAAAAAATAATAATTTCTCGCAATACGCATTGCCATGCAGTGTGCCTGGTCCACTTTTTAGCTCTAGTTATATTTGTTCATATTATATCATTAGTATTAATAATTTCATCTCTATATGTGTAAGTTTGTTTCATTAACTTGCCAGTAATATATAATATATACTAGTCCGTTTTGATAGTTAGTATAGATTTTTTAAAGATGATATATTTTCCTACAGTAAAAAGTATCCTTTATGTAGACCCATATAACCAGCTATCATCATACCAAGTTTTATCAAAATCTGACCAGTGGTTTTCTCGTGATATATCTGTATGGATAATAATGACTATTTCAATAAGATTTTCCAGAAAATATTTAATGTACAGATTCGATTCTGTTAGAATTTTATTATGTGAATACCTATGTATAACTTAGCCCCCTAAATAATATATTTTTTTAATTTCTGGATGTATTGCAAATAATAAGTAATTTTCAGTATGCTGAAGAAAAACAAGCCCAATTAGAAGTAAATCTATTTGATCCTGAGTTTGCTGTCAAGTCTGAAGACACATCCGAAGGACAAAAATTAATTGAAGATTTCTTGCGTAAATGTAAAGAGATAAACGAAACCATTTCATCCGATGAAGAAATGTTTCAAGAAATAAATAAACTAAAGCAAGAACTGCTAAATCATGACAATAACTACATTAAGTCACTAACTTCTTAAAGGCTTCATAAGTTCTTAATAAAACATTTCAAATTACATTGTACTTTATTGTATTTATTTAAAATTTCCTTATCATTATAATATATTGGCTCTGCAGGATAAATTTGAAGCAATGGCGGTTATTTCTGTAGTAGTCTTTACCTAAGTACAAAAGAGGTCTTTACATGGGCACAGACCACATTTTTTAATGGCTTAGTTAAAGACGCAATACATTCTGCCAGTATCACGGAAGGAAGGAGTTTTATTATCTTATGATATAACTCGCGTCATCTAAAAAGAACGCTGGAAGAAAGTGGAGAGGGTATGTTTGCGCATGGGTATACTCGCGCACAAAAGTACTAAGCCTATTATTTTATTTTTCATAGCATTTCGCTCGCGGCTTCATATGTTAGTTATTGGTAGGGTCATTGAAAAATATTTAGATAGAATATCATAAAATAGAATTCTATTCATTATTAAAATATGTTTGATTCAGTGCAGAATGTTTCTTCTTACAAAAAATTAAATTAATACGTTTAATACATTTCTTTTATTATTAACTGCATTATTATTAGACTCTCTCTTTGTAAAACAATATACGTCAAAAACAGTTTTTTTCTTTTCTATATATAAAACCATTTCGTAATTAAAAACTTTTGTGTGCGCGATAGTATTTCGAACTGATGAACCAATAGCGCGCCGGCAAGCATGCGGCGCGTGCCCCGATGCCCCGCGCCCCGCTTCGTACCATCAATTTGACCGATAAATCGCTTCTGCGCAGCTTGACAGCCAGCGTTCTTTTTAGATGACGCGAGTTATTCTAAATAAAATTGATTCATATTGAATTTTCATTCCATTTCCACATAATATGTACTATACTAACACAGATGCCTCATCTCATACAAAGAAATTTGACTATATTTTTGTTTGCTTGAATAAATAATAAATGTCGTTGATTGGCAAATAATTAAACTTTTATTTTATAACTAGCATTGCCCGCGGCTTCGCCCAAATTCTGAGGTTTTACAAATTACTCTTACATTGCAGTTTTTGTATTTTTTCTCTTAAATGAGATATTTTCTCGCGGTAAAAAGTATCCTATATGTACCAGCTACCATTATACCAAATTTCATCAAAATCCCTCCAGTGGTTTTTCCGTGATGCGGTAACAGACAGACAGACAAAAATTCTAAAAACTATAGATTCGGCCTCTGTATCGATAATAATGTCTATTTCAATAAGATTTTCCAAAAAATATTAAATGTACACATTCGGCTTAGTTACAATTTTATTATATGTATAGAATATGTGCAAACTAGCATTGGTAAATATTGTAAAATCGAACTCAGGACCTCAGGATTTGCAGGTGTACATGCTAGCCACCATATCACCGAGGTAGTTATTATATCAAAAAGATCGTTCCTCAACGCTCAATACATGCCTAAAATGAAGTATGTTAAATATTTCGAAATTCACCTTTTATTTAATTAAAGAAATTTCAGTGTCAATTATTAAGCGTCGTAAAGAAATCATGAAGAATACAGAAGAGAAAAGTAAAACCGTCATCTGCAAATATGCACTACAAAGTACAAACCCAATACCTGATAGATGATTATATTTACCCTAAAATTGATTAACGAACGCATTATCTCGTTTTTGTTCGCTTAAGTTTTTTTTTTAAATCATAATAGGCATACCTTTTTAAGATTTATTTTACCTTTAGTTAATTTTACACTTCCATTATTCATTTATGTTTTCAACATATAAATGAATAATGGATTCGAGACATGTAATGCCATCTATTGACATTATATTATTTTTTCTTTACCAGACAACATGATTTTTAAGTTATTGTATTCGTTGACATCTGCATATCTTTTTTATTTAACTTACATTCAGTGATTCACATTATATTAAAGCACACAGAATAAAAAAGTACCGAATTATATTGTGTTTATCATTATTCCTTAAATGCTTAATTATTTGATGTATTTTTATTGGTGGTGCATCTGGGATTATAATTCATCTATGATAATATTTACCTTTAAATGGCTTCCGATTTTGAATCTGTGTTTAACACTAATATTTATTTCTTGTGTATTGATAAACCTAATTTTGTTGTCTTTAACTTTTCTGTGTCTTTTTTTAAGATTAATAAAGAAATAGTATATAATATTTATTTATTTTATAATATTTATTTTATTTTTACCTTATTATATTCTTTTTAAGTGTCTACTCCATCTTTAGAATATTGTTTTTTCGGTATATGAAGGGTAGAATTACCAAGTACATACAACAGTAATTAGTAAACCGTCTAAAATAGGAAGCAAGATAAAAAATGTCCAATGGTGAGCAGCAAATTTTAATTCAGAAAGTCACCGATATAGCGCTAGCGTAGCAAGTAAACTGATATGAATTTATCAGTTTTAAACGGAATGAGGTATACTGAAATTAAAAATTTAACATCTCTTCTGACCAGTGTAGTCAAAATAATTTAGTAAATATAACCTGTAAAAACCTTGTACCTTGTACTTTTAGCGATATGTTTTAAATTCGTTTGTTTTCTGTGGCGTCACCAATTTGATGCTTGTCAGTGGTCACTTTTTATACACAGATAGTTCTCCTTACCTTTACCGTCCATATTTTGGTGTACGTCATTGTGACGTCTCATTGACACATGGTGTTGTCATATCAAAAAATAAGTATGGTAGTCAATCCTAATTATAGCAACAGTTTTATGTAAAGGTCTTTTTGGTACGAGTTCAAATTTACCTGTACAAATGTTATAGTTGCAAAACTAATCATAAATAAGTACTAATTAACTATTAATCTGTCAATTGCTGGTACTTTAAGCTTATTTTATAAAATTAAATACGTAATTCTTGTATATTTATAAAATTTCATAGATTTCGGAAACGTATTTAAACGATTTGGATTAAATTTTGTATTTAGATAAGGTTAAGTTTATCTATATAGGTTTTTATAAAAATGCAACTTTTATATCATTTCCAAAAAAACACAATTTAATAAAAAACACTAAGTGAGGCTCGGTCGCCCAGGTATTTTTAACATAGTAGGTAACTGTTATTTTTTATGAATGAGGAATAGGTAAGAAAACACAAGAGTATATAATTTAACAATATATTAACAGGATGAAATAATTTACTGTTTTGATTCATAAATAATTTTCATTAGTTTATACCAGTTGCTAATGTAAAGCTTAAAATAAAACCATTTATGTTACACTATTAGCTGCGTAAAATAACGTGATATGAATTTACCATCTACTAAATGTTAAACGTTATTTTATAATGTCAAATTAATATTGCAACATTTTTGTAATAATATTATTAAATTCAATTCAATACTAGTTCTATATGCAAAATTAAATGATTGTTCATTTCAACTGATAATAAATAATCATAGTATCGTTTGCCTTTTATTTTGAAATATTTTAAACATTTAATTTTAAACCTTTATTGTGCAGGCTTATTCTACTGTCCAAATTTCGCCCAACGTAAGTCACTTCGTCTTGAACCGCATTGTAGGTACTAATTATTACAAATTAAATCAAGACGATGATTTAATTTGTAGGCGGTTGTTTGATTTTCGAAGCGTGTTTCAATACGCTCCGAGCGAATTGACTAACCAGTCCCTAGTGGACCAGCTCAAGAGAAGTATAACCGCACTGCATTTGTGAACGTCCTTCGACACATTGGGCATTTGTCGGTTGATAGCGCGCATTTCGCACAGGCGACCACGTGGCCGCATGGTACAAAAACCACGTTCCTTTCGTCGTTGAAGCATATTTTACATAATTTTGTATCTTCTATGTTATTGTCGCCGTTCTTTATTGTAGTTTGAGAGGTTTCATTTAGCTCTTGGGGAGCTGAAATAGCGGTCGCTTCCGTGATAACTTTTTGAACATACTCGCGTCCTTTGACTAACTGGACGTATGCACATCTGTCGAACCAACGCGCGTGTTGCTCCCACGGCACGTCATCATTTTCCCAGTCTTTTAATCCACCGTCACAATAAAAACACTTTGTTTTGTCGCCTTGACCAGTGTAGAAAAATCCTGCTTCCGCCAGTTCCTCGGGTTTCTGTTTCATACTACGAGGCCAATCGCTAAAACTGCGTAATCTGGCAGCTTCGGAGGCGTATCTAGAATGAACAGGTCCAGGCATACGAACTGTCGTGACGGGCGCTCGAACACCGCACTCGTCATGACCCGCTGTAGGTGTAGTAGAGTCCATTGGCACATTGCCGGAGCCAGTTTGACGTCTTAGGAAAGGACATTGAGGAGCCCATCGTTGATGGTCCTTAGCAGGATCGTCACCTTCAACCCATTTCATTATTTCTACTTTGCAGAATGCGCAACGTACTTCATCACCACGGCCTAGATAGTAAAAGCCATTCTTTGCTAGTGAATCTGGTGATAAAAATGAAACGGGCCATTTCTCGAATGTCTTTAGCCGTTCGTCTTCGCGTCGCATGTCAGGTGCATCCGGACAGAACGTGAAAACATCGCGTTCACGGTTGTCGGGTTTATCGAAGGAGGAACTTGATGACACAGAGGTCGGTGAAGACGAAGGGCTGTCAGTGTTCGAAGCGCATCCCGGAGGTTGTAACACAAGTTGATGACCTTTAAAAAACTGAGCCAACATTCCTGCAGCGGGTGAAGCGTTTGCGGATACTGTAAAGAAAGAAAAACATCTATAAGTTAAAATTTAATTCAAATATTAAAATGAATTAAAGGCATTTTACTTAGATATACCAGAAACACGCAACTCATTAGTACTTTTTTTCATTTTAATTTTAAAGGCAATAAAATAATATATTATTTCTGTCTTTAATTGTACATCTTTTATCGTACACATGAGCCAAGCTTAAAGAAGAGCGATTGTCTTTGAAACATATACAAGTTCGCGGCCATTACATTCTGCAGCCTACTCCCGTTCCGTGCCCTCTGCGTGCACTCAGTGCGCATGCACTAAACGACCGCGATCAATTTTTTCTTTCTACAATTTAAGCCTACTATTTTTTTTAGATATATCTAAAGTCACGACGTTAATTATTGTTGTTATTGCTACAAAACATTTAAACTTATATGAAGTTTAAACTATTGTTTAACAAAAATAAATAACCTAGTGAGTAGTGTAACTTTCATTTTCTTAAATCTTGTTAATCAATCTAACATAAGTTAATAAAGCAAGCAGTGTTCCAAAAGTAAAAGATATGATGAACGTCCAAAACTAGAATCAACAGATATAGGAACACATAATGGCCGTAAAGTGAAGCGATCAATATTTACCATTTCGAATTTTATTATCAACTAACAGCGGCATTTTCGAGTCACACTACGATTACGTAAAACACAAAACGCACATTGCAAAAAGTATCACAAATAATATAAACTGTTAAACTATACTTATAATTTTTTGAAAATTGGTCAGAATGGCGTACGACGGGTCGGGCATCGTAAGCTCTCTTATTTGTAATGTCGCGTAGGGTCGCGGGCAGCATTGACGTAGCTGTTGCGCATGCGTGCGCACTTTTAGGAGGGTTCAAATTCGCCTACGTGGGGTGCCTAGTGACTGGCACAGCTGTGTCGTCTGAATTGGGGTCTCACATGCTGTTACATTTACGCCGATATTATTAATAAAATAAGTATATGATCAAAATAATCAAATAATAAATTCATCTCAACAAATTTTCTTGAAACTTATAAAATAAATATTTAGTAAGTTATCTTTTATACAGGACCAACGTGAACGCCAGTATATTTTTTTATACAAGCACGGCAGTGGTAATTATCGCGTGTGGTTGACACATGGTAAATAAAGTATGACCACCGCGATTCAAGCTGTTGCTATGCCGCATACTTATTCATCTACATTAGACTACATGATACGATGAACAAGCGAGAAGCGCGAAGGGACGACGCGGGAGAGATGTAGTTCTCAATCAGGATAGCGTCTGGTGCGACGTTGCCGCACCGACTGGATTTCATTCATATTTGAGACGAGGCGTTGCCGTCTTCAGCGGAAACCGCGACCACACAGCGTAAAAAGGGCTATGGAATGTGGCGGTACTGCAAGCCGGTTCTAAACAGTACCGAAAAAAGTGACGGTGTGGAATGCGGACTATAGTTAGTTATAAAAACTGTATTATATATATTACGAGCTGTCAAAAGTGGATACTTTCCGTAGGAAATTTTCTTTTTCTTATCTCAATCTTGATATTCAAGATGTAATGCTAGAGATAATTTTACTTATTAGTGATTAATCAAATTAATAATTATTATATTTACAGCAACGAGTTTAAATTTAAACAATAAAAAAGACATATTATGCTTGTTCTTATAAGTCATACCTTGGCTCAACGGCTAATAATAAATATTTATTAGTTGTAGGACAACACTGACAATATTTCGACATGCGTTTCCATTAAAATGGGCAGACAAGGAAAATAAAATAAAAGGTTCGCATCCAAGGTTCATAAGCTGAGAGCAAATGAAATTCAGCATTGTGCCTTAAGAGAGCGGCGAGAGGCGGCGCCGTAGTATGCCGTGGGGAAGGGGACGGGGCCGCGTTCTCATGCCTATGGGTGGTCGGCGCTCGGCTTTCGAATTCCAATGCCTCGCCTGTAGCACCTACGCAGTGCTATGTGTACATGTATTACATCTTCAGCAGTATCTTTCCAATTACGTGGCTATAAAATATAAACACTACATAGTACGTACTACTGCCTAAATGCATTAGTATCTAGTCCATTCCTTGTACGAGTACGGGGTATTTACAAACATTGGCTGTCATCATAAAAGATAAAAAAACTGGCCCGGAAATGATATCGGAGGAAATGAACATCCGCCAGATGGGGTGCTTATTTATACAACAGCACCATTTGTTGGAATATAAAACTGATGAATGAACCATAAGCTATTTTTGAATATGAATGAAGGGTATCATGAAAACAAGTAGTTTGTCCATTATAAGAATAATTAAAGAAATCTTGGATATAGCAATTGTAAGAAGATATCGCTATTAGGAAGCCGCGAGCGCCAACAAGCCATTTCGAATTACGATACGATAGATATGTACTCCCACGAGTATTACGGGCTCTATGTAAGAATTTGCAGAAAGCCTGAATAAAATGTAAGATGCTTAAAATAAATAATAATCTATTAATTAAACTTACTTATTTAAACTTGAATATATGACTGAGATTCAAAAGTTAATATGAAAACATTGTATGTTATATGCTACTAGACAATCAAAAACAAATCTATCCCTTGGGAACCGTATATTTTTCCGGGATAAAAGTAGCCTATTTGTTATTCTGATGTATGTACTATATTATTGTAAAGTTTCATTAAAAACCAATTAGTAGTTTTAGTGTACTAAGCTGTATAAGTTACTATAGTTTATTAACTCCCACGAAAACTCTTTTAATTTTCCGGGATGAAAAGTATTCAAAATGTTGACCGGAGATATAAGGTACCAGCATGCAAAATTTCATTTAAATCGGTCCAATAGTTTCGGAGATTGGCCCGTACAAACAGACAGAGAAACAAAAATTTTGAAAAAAAAAACTGGATTTGTCCTATTCCTCTTCTTACATCCCCCTGACTCGGTTTTCGACCTTCGACCTCTAGTTTTATTATAAATACATATAATCTATATAAATTTAGGAGCAATGCAACAGGGTAAAAGTTGTAGTTAAATTAATAGCTTAGTGATGTTTCGCTTGTATTTTATCTTCTATCATTGTTTTATCAAATCCTACAATTTTAAAAAAAACTTTTAATATTTTAGATCATGCAAAATTTGTGAATGGCTAGATGTATTTATTTATTTCTTACTGTTTGTTGAATGAAATCAATTGATCAAGTGGATTATAAAAATAATTTGAACTTTTCTTAATAGCTGCAATATTTATATTAAAAATTAAAATATTATAAATACTAGTGTATTAACCAGGTTTCGCTCACATAGAACAAGATGGCAAATAAATAAATCTCAAACTATCAAAATATACAACTGCAATGTCACTATATGTTTATGGTACTTTGTCAACCTAATTAAGTATATGGGTGAGACTTACAACTCCTTCACAATGTTTATGTATAGTCATTTGGTATGTTTAGAGAATGATCCTTGATATAAATAAATACATATATAAATTATAATAATAAACAATATGTTTTGTATGTAGTATAAATATGTGTGAGTTTTTTAATACATTGAGCTAGTTGGCAAAACATTGATACCATAATGATCAGATAGATGGCGTTACTAATCTCTTCATTCTAAATGTAACAATATGTAATAACAAAGTAAAATTTCCTTTCATTATATTGTAGGTCGGTATCAAAAGGTTTGATACTATGTTGATAATGCTAGATACAATTACTAGAACAAGTCTGGTATTTGATAATATTTAACTGATGCTTCCACCAAAATTGTAATGTCATGACACAAAATTATAAGTCAGAGGCACAATTGGGTGATAAGCACAGCAAGGACAAATTATATTAACACAATGAACACAATATATTCCTCCTTAGTTAATTAATATAAAACAACAAACAAAAAGACTAACAGAATTTATTTATATATTATTTTTTTAGAAAGTAGGGCTTGGTTTGATAAAAAATAAAGAATTATTGTTAACATTATCTTTGTGCACTTAATGCTTAAAGTATATATGATATGAATTTCTGAGAAATAAATATTATTATTAAGATTATTGTTATCATTGTGACATGTACAATTTGACAAGTCATTAATAATTGAAGTTTAGTTTTTAATTACTTTAGAAAATTTTCCATTGCAGATCAGCCCATACTTTAAATAAATGATAACTGATTTGTGCTAATATTATAATGATCATTTATTCATTACCTTCATAAAAAAAATGGAAATGTACTATTGTAAACGAAAAGTAATGATGTTACCTATCTCAGAAACGTTATATATAGCATATCAGAAAATTTAAAAGCATAAAATTTTGTATCCAATAATAATAATTAATACATAGCATAAAATTACAAAGTAATAGCAATTTATATCATTTATTTTTAAGGTAAGCAACTACGAATAAATAACTTATTATTTATTCGTAGGTAGGTAACAATAATTATAGGAGGATAATATATCCTCTTTAAAATATCTTTTGTAATTAGTACTCACAGCTGTTCGAGAAATAAAGGTACGTGGATAGATACCAAGAATTATATCCTATATATTATTCAATACTCAATTAAAGTCCACATTTCGTCAGGAAAATAAATAAAATAAAATAATCTAAATACATATTGTAGTGTTTTAAACATTTATAAACGTAAATCAATTGTTTGCTGACGTGTTAATATGACGCTCAGTTCCAAGTCAAATAACAGTAACAAATACATTAATGTATCTGTTCAATAGTTAAATAAGGATAATATAACCACAACAAAATATTAAAATTCCACACTATCCCGAATTAAGACATAACACACAAATAGGTTATGTAAGAAAAAACAATCACCTTTTAACGTATCCATTTGCACTTCATATAATCCTTTAAAATATGTACACTTTAACTACAATCCTTCAATATATATTGTTCACACTCTTACTTTTAATCCAACAAATCACAATAATTTTCAGCGTTCAACGACACAACTATTTCATGAGCGCGAAACTCGCAACTGTTGGCAGAATCGACAATATCTACAGACTACACAGTACACATACTACAACGAATCAGCGGCGCTCGCAGTACGCCGACAATACGTGCGTCACGTTCAGAAAAAGCCCGTCGTGTTATTAGTTTCGTTTCGTTCTAATGGTTGCCGCGCCGCCCTACCCGCACCCCTCCGCATAACCAAGTAATTTAACAGCTGTTTCTATACTTCATACATCCCTTTTTGACAAATAACAACGAAAAAACAATTTTTGTAAGTATTTTTCAAATTATTTTTATGATCTTAGTCTAGCTTAAAGTTACTTAACTATGGAAATACCCTTAGAATACTGATAAGCAATCTTATAACTACCTACTAAGATTTATTACCTTTGGCCTCTCTAGAGGGCCCGGCTGCCTCATCATCGGCTTCTTCAGATTGTGCCTCATTTTGCATGCCTAAAACAAACAAGAGTTTTATTATAACTATTAGAGTATTATTATAACTATTAGACATTATTTTTTAATTGAATTGATTGACGCACGTACCTATATTGGTAATAAAAAAGAGTTTATGGCTTGACATTTCAGAGTGATACGTTCAGTAATTATATTTAAAAAATAAACATACCTATATAATTATTATTTGAAGAAATAATCCACGAATAATCTGTACACGATTGTAGTTGCAGACACGAGTAAGCAAACTGATCTAATGATAAATATTGTTACGTAAAATATGACGTGCTATAGGACAGATTGTTGTTGTAAAGAATCTACTTTAAAGTCTAAGGATGCTAAAATAACATAAGTTATTTTATTAATATTATTCTTTATCACTTTTACAATTTCTATTTTTTTTTTTAAATATGTTAAGACATTAACACACAGAACCATCCAGTTCCATGGTAAGCTACGAGGCTTGAGTTATGGATACCAGATAGTTGATACACTATACATATATAACTTTAAATACATACATATTATAAATATTTGCATACACATTGTGACATAACATCTAAAAAATAACGTACTTAGGTATCCAAATGGTCCAATTAATATTTATTATGTATATTGAAAAATGTGTGTCTGGAATGAAGTAAGAAACCAAATGTACACGTACAGTTTTTAAAATTATTGCTTTGCTGTATCTGTTTGATGGCGCCTGAGAACAGCTGCAATCTGTACATTTAGATTGCACATTTAGTGGTATTTTTATAGTAGTAACTAATAGGTATAGATAATAGCTAATCTGAATTAAAATCATAGCTAAGTTTATTAACAATTTATCGAAAAGGTGGTTAGGTTAGACTGTTATATAAAATAATTATAGAGCTTTCCAATGACTGGCTAATCTCTTCAGGCATGTGCCTGAAGAGATTAGTCAGTCTAGAGATTAGTAGTCCATAGGTACATCGCTTAGTATTACCAAATTAAGTTAGATATATAAAAAATGAGAGCAGATGCCAATGTGCCGTCTATTATGCTGGTATAAGTTGTAAAAAATTGAGGTAAAGTTTGGCGCAGGTGCGTTAGCAGCTTGCTCGTGCGCGGGCGTCACACAGCTGCTGCTCCACGTGCTTGGCAGCTGTCGTCTCACCCTTAAAGCCTTGTTTTGATACCAACTTGACACACAAAGGCTCGAAATTGCCCGAATATTACATGCAATGCTAGATGTAATACACGATTGAATAAACAAATAGTGGCGATTTATGCCAAAGAGTATTAGGATTAAAATTAAAATATGATTGTGTTAGATATAATGTTTGGTAGTGGTTTAATGTTTAGCAGTTTTCATTGTACGTAATTTGTTAGGTCTCTGAACTACCAGTCTACTTTAATACCCTACTGGGTGTTATCAAATCAGGAGTTTAGGGGCTTCCCAAGATTTTCATGATTTAATAGAAGCTGGCACACTTAGATTAAATCAAATGAAGAACACGTAAACATATCTTAATTTCTTCGTGCGTCAATGTCTTAACGATTTTATAATTACTTACTAACTATAATGTAATTATCTAAAGTCTGAACGCTTATTAATGACTAGCGACTTACCTTCAATTCGCTCGGATGCGTCCGTTAGGTCTAGGTACGTTTGTTATTAGCGGAATCCAAATTATTTTTCTAAAATATTAGTAGTCTAAGTTATTCCTTATAACATCAGCTATCTGCCAGTAAAAGTCCTGTCCGTTTCAGATTATATATTCAGATTAGCCGGAACAAACAGACAGACAAACAAACAAAAAATGGTAAAAATTGTTTTTCGTTCTTATAATAAGTAGGTACCGTATATAATTTTATATGCATTTAGTAAAAAGCTGTTATTTTGATATAACAAACAAACATTTCAATTTTATTTGTTTGTATAGATATTCATTATTTTTCACATAAAAATACCTGATTGCTGTTGATTTGCTGTTGTTGTTTCCGAATCACCATTACAATTTATAAACGAAAGAAGTAGTTTTATAAGAAAATCCATTATTTACCGAACCACAATACCACCCTTTTATAATGTGTTTGGGCCGTACCGGCCTTTTCCGGCGTTTAGCCGACTCGGACGTGTGTTCTATGCAACATTCCGCGCTCACTACCGTACTGTAGGTTCCGCCTACTAGGCCATGGTACGACGCAGGAAAATCGATCATCTTACACAAAATGGTGCAACGTCATATTTCCTTTTATTTTATTAGTAGGTGGAAAACTGGTAAAAAATTCCTATCTAGAGCTAATGGACTTATGAATGTATAATAACACAACACTAGAAGAAACCGTCAAGGTTAGTGCGATACATTTCAAGTTTTAGTTTTTCTTATCTTCTTCAGCGCTGTTGATTATTTATTTAGAATTTTATAAATAATCTAAAACTATAAAACAATAAAAAATAGTAAAGTGCGTGTCGAATTTATTAGAAGGTGGATTTATTACGGGATTTTTAAGTGTTATCTAAGTAATCGACTCGAAGAATTTCGGAATTAGTTATTAGGGAGATGAAAGATATAGGTACATAAGTGATTTTACTCATTGGTGAAATGGTGAAATTGCCACTTGTTTTGGAATTCATGCAAGATTATGTGTGTTTTAACTTTTAAGCCTTATATAGAATCTACCAAAATTGATGTATGCAGGCTGAATAAAGAAACGCACATAATTACTAACATATATCTCACGTTTGGCTCAGTTTGTAGTGACCCTACTTGCTACGCCAGCGGTCGCGGGTTCGAGTCCCGCTGGGGGCATTCATTTGTGTAATGAGCACGAATGTTTGTACTCCAGTTATGGGTGTTTATATTTATAATATGTATGTTTTTAAATTTATATATGTGTAGTCTATCAACTATCTGGTATCCATAACACAAGCCTCGTAGCTTACCATGGAACTAGATAGTGTTGTGTTAATGTCCCAACATATTATTATTATTATTATATGTATAGTATGCCTATAATATAAACAAACGTATTCTAATGTTTAGTGAATGGAACAGGTTAATAAGTTGTGCTTACAAGTAGCTCGCATTCAGTCGTGACCGAACAATAAAATACTGTGAGTATTACGTAGGTATAGAAGATTTTTCAGTCCAGCTATCTATATTAGATATATTTCTAAATAATATCTACTAATTATTATATAGGTATTTTAATTTGAAACTTCTGATACGAAGTTTTTTTCCATTTAGGTATATTTCATTAAACAAAGTTATATTCCACTAGCATTGCCCGCAGGTCCGCCCGCGTTCAGATGACTAAAAACCAAATTCTTAGGTTTTACATATTTGTATACTCTTACATTGCAGTTTTTGTATTTTTTCTCAGAAATGAGATATTTTTAAGCGGTAAAAAGTATTCTATATGTTGAACCAAACAACAAGCTATTACCATACCAAATTTCATCAAAATCCCTCGTGGTTTTTCTGTGATGCGGTAACAGACAGACAGACAGACAAAAATTCTAAAAACTATAGATTCGGACTCTGTATCGGTAATAATGTTTATTTCATTAAGTTTTTCCAAAAAATATCTAATGTACAGATTCGGCTTAGTTACAATTTTATTATATGTATAGGTTGGACCTGTGATGTTGTTCAGTCATAATAATATCTATTTAAAGTGATATAATATTATATTTTAAAAAAATATAATGGCGGTATCTTAAAAATTACAATGGATATTAAGCTCATAAATTTATCGTTTTATTATCATGCGGTATCAAGTATTTACACAAAAAATATATAGGTATAATTGTGATAGTCTACTGCTATGAATAATGTACCAGAAAATGTTTTTATATACCAAGATTAAATATATAGGGTAGGGAATAGGGTAGATACCAATAATAGGTACCTATGTCCATGTGTATATGTAGTAAAAAAAATCGTTGAGCTGTACGCATAATCAAAATCTTATCGTAATGGGAACTTTGTGTACAATAACAAGTATAAAAATGGCTTATAAAGTACACAGTAATATACTGTGTATTTACCATGTTAAATAGTATAACCACGGTATAAATATCTGTATTCCGTACGGTAAGCGATCGATCGCCTTTAATTTTAACTAAAATGCTTGTTAGCATTGTCAAGTAAGCGATGCAAGTGTTGTCAAAAACTACCAATTTTCATGGTAAACGGTTTCGAAGTTAAATTGTAGTTGTGCCATCTCGAAGTAAGTAAAGTTTTATGATATATCCATCAAGCATTAACCCTAAAACCGTAATGTAAAAAAAATTATGACAATTCGGGGGCGCGCTTCTCTGCACGACTGCCTGCTGTATGGATTTTAAGATCGTTGTAGAACGGTGTAAGTTAGATACCTATTGTTTAGGTATATATTAGGAATTAGATATACTTTCTAGACCGAAATAAATCAACGGTTCAAAAGCTACAATAAGTTTATTCGAATTAGAGAAGTTCACTAACTTTTCATTGTAAAAAGTAACAATAATAATTAAAAATAAATTAAATATATTTATCTATGTATATAAAAATAAATTAAAATTGTATTACACGTAAAGGTAATTAGTATTGGCAGTATTTACGCGTGGGGTCATTGAGTACCTTTTTATTATTTGATAAACACTTTTGATTTGTTACAAAAAGGCAATTCACATGATGCGTTTCGATGCGTGCGATTCATGCACTCATTATATTTTCAGCAATAGTAAACTTTTATCACTTTTACTGATAAAGAGCGCTGGCTCATATAATTTTAAACAAATATAAATTATATTGTAAATAAGTCAAATAAATCATATTCAAACTTCATTTCAGTCGGTTGGTAGAACCAAATGTACTTACATACAAGTACCTTTTAAACTATTTCCTCCACGATTATTTAGGATGTTGACTAACTGACACACGAAGATAAAATAAAGGCTAAACTAGATAATAAATACCTACTATAATAATACACGTGCATTAAATCCGTTATAACATATTTATACAAAACTTAATATCATCAATCTGATCTACTTTATAATATGATTTATGATAAAAATATAACCGTTATTTTTCGATATCCCTTTTCTTGTAACTTTATATCGTACAACCTAAAATGAACCACCATGAAAGCCAACGGTAATGGAGGACAAAACTGGTCTGAAAAATAAAAGCGATGCATCTGAGGCAATTTCAAGTAAGGCTTTGGGCGCGAAGAGTTCCTATGGCCAATGGCAGCCCGAGATTTGGTATGTGGCCTTCTTTTCCCAGAAACGTCTGAACGGGCGGGACGCAACTCGAAGTAGTAGGTAGGTAACATTATATAGATTGTGTGGGGTAGGTTGAGGTAAAATGGGTCTTATTTCAAGAACCTCAATAAATATATAATAATCCAATAATTATCTATACGAAAAATGTTTCTTATTTGTATATATATTTAAATATTGTGGGTATAATTTATGCCAGCATGGCAGCAATCGTTCGGATTCTATGTTAAGACATATAACACAAAACATATTCTTAAAGACATTTAGTAAATTAATTTTTTCAACCTTAATTGGATAACATTTCGTCGAAGAAAAATGATTGACCGCGAAGACGGGCATTTATACTATAAATAGTTTCGTTTAAATATTTATCAGTTCCTTTTTGCTCGTTTCGCCTTGTAGTTCAATTCACCTCGATTTACCTTTAAGTAGGTACTCGTACATAAGAGCGCTTAAGTGAGGAATCATCTTCTTAGTCTTTTTTATAGAGTTAAACGTGAAAGTACATACTACATACCTATAACTATTTTCGTAACTAATTGTACCTACACCTTATTTTTCAATTGCCTTTAAAGTTATAAAGTACGCCATTAGTATTAAGTAGCATATGTCTTCTGCTAAATATGTAGTTGGTTTAAAAAAATATTTCTATAGTGTGACGACACTGCTTTCAAGAATTAAAGATTAATTCACAAAATATCAATAGGATTTTTAAATTGGAATGTTTTTCAAGACGTCATACAATATGCTTTGACACAATACACAATTTTTTCCTATCTAAATCCGTTACATTCCGTTCGCTGAAGCTGTGAGTTGGGCACGTAGCTATCTCAGCGAGATTTCGAAATTCCAAGAAAGGCAAAGCCTTATAAATTATCTCAAAAGCGCCGACTCGGCCCTACGACCAGAATACTTTTTTTACTCCACAGGTAGGCTGGCGCTAAGAAGGCAAAGGAATTTATAGCGAGTTCCCCTCATCTCGCACCTTTACAATTAATCTTTCTTTTCGGTTAAATATAATAAATAGATAGTAAATGAGGTTCATATTAATTCTAGTTGTCACCGTGTTTGCGTGTTCTTAAATGACTACTAAATTGTGATTGTACTCCAAACAAATTAATAGGTAGAAAGTAACTACCTACATAGTATCTTTAAGCAATGGGCAATAATATGTATTACTTTATTTATTTGATTGTTAAAAATAAGTTGTTTTTTTGAATATCGTTTTTCACTTTTAAGTATCTATATATATAATTAATAGATAAAATGAAGTTAATTTTCAAAATATATCAAACTAAACGCGTCCTTCTATTATCTCTATACCAACTAAAAAATGCGCGTTGTGCTCGCGTGTATCACGATTCTTAGAAAATAGGACTCTTGAAACCAGCGGAGAAATTCCCGGACGCAGCCCTGAAGGTCGCCACTAATAATAGAACCTATTGTTAGGCCTGTGGCGCCCCAACAGCCTCCTAATAAATGCGCATAATTGCACGTTCTTTCTAACTTTTTCAGTAATAAATAGTTTGCAACCGAAAATACTTCTTATTAACTAACTATTATAGCGAATCTTCAAATATATCACATTAGATGGAATAGCAAAATTGCTCACGTCTTTAACAAGAAATAAATCCGAATCGAACCGATTTCAAGCGCCACAACTACTATAAAGCATCTGCTAGACATTAAATGATACATAGACAACTAAACCATGAAACAACGGCTTTTTAGATGTAGAGATACAAACTATTTTGAATCTTGGAGGTAATAGATTTTAGATG